GGGAGCCTGGACGCCCTGTGCGTCCCACTTGGAGGGGGCTCGGGGAGGACCCGGGCCTCCGGGAGCCAGAGGGAGGGGCTGAGTGGGCGCAGGGCCTGCTGGGAGCTCCGGGGTTCGGGCCCGGGAAGGAGGTCAGGACAGCGCGGGGGGGGGGGGGCAGAAAGTGGGCGGAGCGCCGTGGCGGGCGGGCGGGGGGGGGGCGCTGGAGGGCGAGTCCGGGGGGCCGGCCCTGCCCTGCTCGCGCGCTCGCGGGCGCAGCGGTCTGCCGGGCACCGCGCCCCCCAGCCGGGCGCACGAGGAACCGCGAGCTGCTGCCGCGGGTGCCGCTGGCGACGAGGGGCCCGCGGGCAGGCCCTGGGCGCGCACACGGGCTCTGCCCACCCCCCACCTCTCAGGGCCGCCGCCAGCCATCGACACGCAGGCCTCGTGCTCGTGCAGGGATGGCGCTAATTAAACCACCCTCCCTCCAGCAAAGCCTAATCAAGTCCTAATTAACCGTTTTCTTCAACGAGAGAAGCGAAGTCGGGGGCCGGCGGGGGGCGGGGTTTCATTGGCCGAGGCTTTCGCCCGGGAAACGCACTTTCGCTCCCGTGGGCTCTGCCGACGCTCCCGCCTCGGCGTGGTTTCCAGAACTGGGGTCCTTCTGCGGGCTCTGGGGAACTGGGCAGGAAGCAGTGGCCTCTTTCAGGGAGAAAGGGGCCTGCGGGGGGCCGTGGCGTGTCCTCCCGCGGGCAGCGTGCCTCACGCAGGGGGGCTGGCGGGGGCTTCCCCGGCGGCCACGAGCCGCACCTCCAGCCGCAGTCCCGGGGAGGCAGGCTCTGACCTACCCACCCCCCCACCCCCGCACACATCTGCCTCGCGAGATTTGACGCCTACTCCAGCACAGCGGGGTTCCTCCCAGGCGCCCCCCCCCCGTCCTGCTCATTGAGGACATAAGTGAGCCGGCGTCCAGGGTCCAGGGCAGCGAAGCTGGGGAAACTGAGGTGATGGAGACACGGCTTCACATTCGTCAAATCCAGCTGAACAGACCACCCAAGGCACCGGCCAGACTAATGAGTAACAATGTATCCATGCTAATGAGCAACAATGTATCCATGCTGATGAGCAACAAGGTATCCATGCTGATGAGCAGCAAGGTATCCCCGCGGAAGCACAGGCCCCACACCAGTGCAGGGCGCAGGGCCACTCTCCTGCTCGAAAACGAAATGTCTACTGTTTAAACGTGTATTAATTATAAAAAATATCCCCAGACTGCCAAAGGGGCTTCTGGGAGGACTGCAGGTTTGGGGACCGCGGCCCTGGCCTGGCCTCTCTGCCTGGGGTACAACCTCCTCAGTCCCAGCCCTACCCACGGCCTGTCAGCCGCCCCAGGAAGGGGGGACACAGCAGCCCGAGAGGTCGGGGGCCTGGGCGGCAGCAGGACCCACGGCCGGAAGCCCGTGTCCCGGTCCTCAGAGCACAGCTGGGCGCAGGGTCACGTGACGTGGTCAGCGGCACCTCCGCCAGAGGCTGAGCCAGCACGGCCTGTGGGGCCGGGCACCCCCAGCGGCGCTGTCTGCAGCCGCCCGGAGGGGACCCCGCCAGGTCCCCGGCGGCGCAGGAGCGGGGACACAACGCGTGCGGCCTGTGCTGCGGGTGCGGCTCGGCCGCCACGGGAGCGAAGGTCGGCGACCAGCGTCGTGCAGGCCCCGCCGGGAGGCAGGCCCAGGCCCAGGCCACACACTGCGGCCCCGTCGAAAAGCCGGGTCGGGCAGCTCCCTGGGGGCCGGAGGGGGGACCAGAGGTCGCAGGCCGGCCAGGGGGGCGGGGTTGAGAGGAGGGGAGATGGTGGTCTCTAGAACTGGCTGGGCCGCCGCGGGTGGGTGAGTGCTGCGTGGGGGCTGCACCCGGCCCCCCGGGAGACCGGGGGTGCGAGGCCTTTGCGCTCGGGTGCACGACCCCGCCCTCCGTCCCGGGTCCTGACGCTGAGAACGCCGGCCAGGCCACAGGGTCCCGGGGCCGCTCTCTCAGGACCAGCAGCCGTTAGGGGCTCAGTGCTTGAATCTGCCTCTGGGTGAGGGGCCTGAGGGCGGGGCGCCCGCCCAGGCAGGTGGCCCCGAGACCCCCTTTGCCACTGCCGTCAGGTCAGACGTCTCTGTGGGTGGCCCTGCTGGGTGCCGTCCCGAGCCCCGCCTCACGAGAGCCCAGGGGCGGCGAGGGCTGGGAGGGCAGACGGAGCCCAGGGCCTGGGCAGGGCCCCAGTCCCCTCCTTGGGGGGTCGGCGCCCCGCCTCCGCCCTGGACCCCACTCCCCACCCCTCCCTGGGGCCTGGCGGGTGGGATACAGGTCCGCTCCGGCCCCCCAGCTCCCCACAGCCCCCCCCCCAGGGCCCACGGTGCACCCCCTCGGCACCCTCCATCCTGCCCGCCGTCCTGGCTCCTCCCCGAGGCCCGGCGCACCGCCCCCCCCACCCCCACACCCCCCACCCCCCCGTCCCGGACCCTGCAGGCGCCCACCCCCCGGGGCCGGGTGTTTGTGCCCCTAACCCCAGGGCTGCAGCACCGCCCCCCCGGGGGGGCGTCTGGAGGTGGGCCTTTGGGGGCAACTGGGGTCGGGTGAGGTCCGCAGGGTGGGACCCCCACGAGGGTCGGTGTCCTCGTCAGAAGACCAGGTCCCCGGTCCCCTCCCCCTGCCGTGCGGGAGGCACCTGCACCACACCCTGGTGAGCCGACCCCTGACCCCGGACTCCCAGCCTCGGGGCTGTGGGGACACGTCTGCCGTGCTCGGTGATGGAGCCAGCGAGACGCACCCCAGCCACCCCGACCTGCCCGCACCCCCGGCCCCTGGGAGAGGCCGCCGGACTCGCTCCGGCCTCGGCCTCGGCGACCCTGCCCGTGAGAGCAGACACTGGCACGGCCCCATGTGGGCTCCCCGGGCCCCGCCTGCCGCTGCGCCCGGGACGAGGTGGCCCGCCGTCCTGCCTCCGCCCTCCACGGCCGGTCCGCAGAGGCTGGGGGTCAGGGCGCTCCCCAGCCCCGTCGGAGGCCTGGGGGCCTCACCGCCCACTCCTGCTCTCAGGGGCGGGAAGGCCAATCCTGGCACCAGGCGGAGCTAAAAATAAACCGGCCACCGCTGCCAGGACGCCTCTGCGGGCGGGCGGTGGTGGGGGGGCAGGCAGCCGGCCCTGGCGACAGCACCACACGGACCCCGGGCCCAGCAAGGCCGCGCAGGGCGGGCACCGGGCACCGCTGCGCCTCCCACCCAAGAGGGAGGGCCCGGGAGCTGGCGAGGGGGGAGGGGTCAGCCTGCTCGGAGCACCGGGAAGACCACCCCATGCGGGCCTGTCTGCAGCTCCAGGAGCTTCCTCAGGTTTCTGGGGTGCTGCCGAGGCCCAGGCCGGCCAACCCTCCCGGCAGAGGGCGGCCCCTCCCAGGCCGGGGACAGGGCCCCCACCCAGGCCGGCCAGAGAAAGGGCGGAGATGCCGCTGGACGCACCCTGGGCAGGAAGGGGGTGGGGGCCCCAGGACGGGGAAGACCCCGGACGGTGAGTGGACAGAGCCTCGTGGCGGCACAGGACCGGAGCGCGGGGCCGCACTGCCGACGCCCTGGGTGGGGGGGAGTGGGGCAAGGCCGGCGGCGGGGCCTGCAGGAGACTTCCACTTTCTTTCCTGCTTTCCTTCAAGTTGCTCATTTCTCACCGCCAACAGGGGTCACTTTTTAATTAGAGGAAAAGCAACCTCCGGCAAAGGGGCGGTGCTGCTGACCAGGCTGCCGGCACCGCTGGGGTGCTGCACCGGCTCCGGCAGGGTCCGGAGCGCCTGGGCTCCGGGGGGTGAGGGTGGGGTCGGGAGCCAGCTGTGGTGGCCCCAGGCCCTGGCCTCCCTGGCCGTGGCACCTGGGTGCTGTGGTGACTTGCAGGTCACAGTGAGGGTTCCATAAGCGTGTGCTGTCCCCCCGGCACCCCCCGAGAGGAGGAGGCATGTGCGTGGCCCCTCACGGGGGGCCTTGCGGGGAGGCTGTGTGGGGCGCAGAAGCCACCTGCCCCCCCGCTGCACAGCGCCCCACACACAGCCCCCGCCCCCTCAGGGGCCGGGTGCCCACCTGGCCTCACACCGCCCCGGACGGCCAGGTCACGGACCACAAGCCCGAGACCCCTGCAGAGCTGGCGCTGGGGAGACACTGGCCGGCAGGGTCGCAGCGATGCGGGTCTGCTTGGCTTGGGAGGGGGTGGTTCCGGGGGGAGACGCCAGGCCGGCCCCGCCCCGGCTGGAAGAGGCAGGGCTGTCTCTGCGCCCAGGCCACCCGCGGGCCCAGGTCACATCTCACGGTGAGAATGAGGGGCCCAGGGACCCAGGGAAGGGTCTTCCACTCAGCACCGGGGAGGTGGGGAGACCAGACCCCGGGGGCACTGCCCCGGCCCTGGGGTGAAGGAGGGCAGTGAGTGGGGGGCCGGGTCTCGGCCTCACGCCCGAGGGGCCCCTCCGGCCACAGGGAGGCCAGGGGCCCTGGCCACGAGGAAGGGACGGTCACGGAAGGACGGCCACGGGCCAGTGAGGGACCTCCTGCTGCCCGCGCTCCCGGGGTCAGCTCTCGGCCTCCGGGGAGGACCGGGTGTGGTGGGGTCTCTCCCGGGGCAGCGCCCCACATCCAGCGTTCCTCCGATAAAGCCCTGCTGACCGTCGGGGGACAAGGACAGAGCGGGACCCTGCCCCAGGGGGGACGGTGACCCCCCTGCGGGCCACGGGGTCTGAGGGCTGGGCTGGAGGTGGGCTTCCTTGTGGGCCGCCTGGTGAACTGGGGGCAGCCCTCGAGAAGGTGACCCCGGCACCCAGGTGCCACCAGGGGGCGGAAGGCCACCAGCCCAGACGTGGGCCCCACCCCCTGGTTCCTGGGGTGAAAGGTGACCACAGGGCCAGGCAGGGTTTGAGCGCCGTGAAATCCAACTGAGATGGAAACGTGATTCATTTCATGCTTCAAGAAACGATCACAAAGCCTTAAAAAAACAACCCAAAGCTGCCTTCCCTTTTAATCAGACCCACCGTCTGTCCCTGCTCAGCCAGGGGCCAGTGTCCACAGTGGGGGCGGGGGTGGGGTGGGGCCGCACCGGCGGGGCCTCCGCGTGGAGGGCGTCCCCGCGTTCTCCTTACGCAGAACCCAGAAAGGGAAGTGCTCATGCTCTTCTTCTTCCCGGTTTCTTCTGGTCTTTAAAGCGACGAGACGGGAAAGGGAGCACACTCTCTCCTTCCGAAGGTGAAGTCTGTTTCCAGGGTGACGGCCTCACCTGTCCTTGAGGGCACCGCCGGGCACCTGGTGGGCCCCAGCTCTGCAGTGAGCGGGAGGGCGCCCCGCTGCTCCAGGGCACAGAGACCCCCCCAGGCCCCCCGCCGCACCGCGGGCTCGAAGCGATCGCCTGTCCCGGGGCCTGCGGGGCGGCCCTCCCCAGAAGAGCTGCTGTCGGAGTCGGGAGAATAAACACGCGAGGCCGCCAGGACGCACCGGGTCCCGGGGCTCCGTCCTTCCAGCCGCACACGCCGCCCCTCCGGGGAAGCCGGGGCCAGGCCGGCCGCCGAGCGCCCGGCACGGTTCTGCGCGCGGCCCCCCGGAAGGCACGCAGGGTCCCTCAGGCAGAATGGGGGCGTGGAGGAGGGGGGCGCCCCGAAGTCGAACAATCCGGAGAACAGCAGTGTCCTCATCACCGGTGACCTTGGGGGAAGCAGAAAGGGCAGAGGTTACCACAGGGTCACGCACTAGGTGCAGGTCCCTAGGGTCTAAGCCCCGGGCCAGAGCACCCACCCAGGTGTCCTCTTAGACTCTCCCTGGGCCTCCCAGCCCCAGCCCCACCTCCCCAGGGGCCAAGGCTGGGCCTGTGGATCCTGGCTGGGTGGGGACCCCTGGGCCCGCCCACCCCAGCAGCCCTGCACTGTCCGGGGAAGATGCAGGAGCCCGAGGGCTGGAGGCCTGGACCTCAGGACCCGCCCTGAAGCCTGCAGCCCTGGCAGGCACAGGGCTGCTGAGGGGGCACTGCTGTTCCAGGTCTTTCTGGCTGCTCCTGGCCGGGGTTCGGGGAAGCTCACACTGTACACAGGGCCCTGGCTCTCGGTCCAGAAGGACCCCAGTGTGTGACCGTGTGGGGGGCACTGTGCCCAACAGGCCCTGGAGACCCTCCCTGCAGCCTGGAGGCCCCCACGCGCCCCCCTCCGTCTGACCACCAGGTCCCCTCCCAGCCGGGCAGACCAGGTCACCCTCCCAGCCGGGCAGACCCGGCCACAGGGACAGACGGGCAGCTCAGGGCCCACTCCCCCAGAGAGAGAGAGCAGCCTGGCTTTCCGCCAAGGAAAAGCACTCTCCACCCATCCTCCACCCCACCGGCCGGGGGTGGAGGGAGGCCAGGCAGGTCTGTGAGGCCACGCGTGACCCAGGAGGATCCTGGAGGCGGGGGAGGCAGGGGCCCAGGAAGCCGGAAGCTGGGGTGGGAGAGGCCAGGCCAGCAGGAGCAGAGGCCTACAGACCTGAGGGCTGGGCTCCGGGGTGGGAGGGGCCCCAGGTCGCCCAGCCCCGCCCCACCCACTGGACCAGCCCTGGCCCGGCCCCAAGGCAGCAGCTGCTTCCGATTCGCCCTCCAAGAAGCAGTGAGCAGCCACGGTGACACCCTGGCCCTCCACACGGGGCAGCAGCCACGCACAGGGCCCCCGGGTGTGTGCGAGCCCGTGGGGGCAGGGCGGCCTCCCCCCACCCCGGGGCTCGGGCAGGCGAGGAGCCAGGTGGGCGCATCAGGCCCACCGCGCAGGGGCACAAAGAGCAGGAGGAAGGGCAAAGCGGCCGCGGCACTGCGGCTTGGGGAAGTTTGCTCCCACAGTGGCCGGGCGCCGACACCGACACCTGCCCGTGTGCCGATGCGAGTCCGGTTTCTCGGAGGAGGGTGGGGACAGGCACAGACACAGACACAGACACGAGAAGGAGCAGCCACAGAGCGAGGCTCAGCCCCGCCGCGAGCACGGAGCCTCGCGGAAGTAAAGTGCGCTCTCGACCCCCCCCCCTGCACGGGAGGGCTGCTGCCTCTCGATCCGGCACCACACCTGCATCTGGGGGGGTCCGGGGCACGGGGGGGGGGTGTGAGGCGGCAAAAGCTCCAGCTTCCACAGAAAAAGGCCCGTACGAGATGCCCGCGTGCAGAAACCCCGAAACGCGGACGGCGGGCTGGGTGCTCACGGGAGCACGCAGACGAGTCCCCCGTGAAAGCCCGAACACGCGTGATGCGGATGCCGGGGACCCGGGGCAGGGAGGTTCCGGGCGAGGGCGTCTCGCTGCGGCCTGCGTGTGGACGAGGACCCAAAGTCGGCCCAGCACGCGCAGCCCGCGGCCTCCCGGACAGACCTCCCCCGCCGGCTCGGAGGGGAGCCCCAGGCCGGTCCCGGCTGCACTGGCCCGCCCAGCCCAGCGGGTGGCCGGAGGCCCCAGGGTCCACCCCGTGAGGAGGGGCAAGTGTAGGCCCAGAGCGGTCCTCTGAGGAGGAGCGCGCCCCAGGCGGGGGCCCAGGAAGCCTGGGGGAGGTGGGACAAGGCACCGGCCTTCCCGGACCTTCCCACGTGAGGCCGCTGGCCGCGGGTCAGGGCGGCGGTGTGGTGGCAGGGAGGGGCTCAGCCCGGAGGGCCCAGAGGCCGGAGCGAACCCCAGCCCCAACAAGCGCCTGAGGGCGGGGCTTCTGCGTGGGGAGGAGCAGCCCTTCCCCAGGCCAGGCGGCTGGTCCCTAGGAAACAAACGCCCTCCAGCCACGCACGGCCCAGTGTCCCTGGGTCCTGTGGACCCTGAACTCCCAGCGTTCCAGGAGGGAGACCGTCGGGGAGGCGCCTCCGGCTGCCGCAGGGGGTGGTGCCCCCCCACAGGTGCGGAGGCCTGGGCAGGGCCCAGCCGTGCTTATCGCCACGGCCTCCCCCCGGGTAGGTGCGGCCGCGGCCACCACATGGGTCCTGGCCTCTCCCACAAACGAGCTCCCACCAAACCGTGTCCCTCTGGCTTTCCTCGGGGGGAAAGCCGTCGTGACAGCACAGCCTGGCCCCCCCACACAGGCGACAAGCGTCTGGGCCTGAGCCACAGGTGGGGACAGCAGCCCCCCCTGGGTGGGGTGTCCGGGTGGCCCCGTCTCCACACCCACTGGGGTGTCCCTCCCGAACCTCCCAGACGGCCAGGAGCTGCCTGCGAGACCAGCTGAGGAGGAGGGGCCGTCGGGGCCATGGGACGGGGTTGGGGGGGCCGCCATGTGGAACCTGCCACGGCCACCCACTCCCACCGCATTCTGGGCTCTGGGGGGGGGGGCTCCAGCCAAGGGCTGCCCAGCCCGGCGGCTGGTCGGCCAGGACCCTCGTGGGAGCAGCAGGCGACGGGCCCCACAGGAGGCGTCCTGCCCGGCACCCGGGCACCTTCCGGGCACCGCCTTCCCGACGGGAACCGAGGACTCTGAGCCCCGGGGCAGACTGGCTGCGCCTCGGCCACTGCCTACCCCCCCCGCCCCACGCGGCTGCCGGGCGCCCCGAGGACGCGGTCTTCTTAGAAACCTGCAGGCAGAGCGGGAAGTTCCCCCTGCCTTCTGGGAACCGCGGGCGGGAAAGGTCGCTCGGAGTGAGACCAGCCCATGCCCGGCTCACTTCCCTCCTCCCACCTGGCAGCCCACACTCCCGGCCGGTGTCACGGCAGGATGTTCCGGGGAACCCTCCCTCTGGGCCGGGGGGGGGGGGCCTGCCCCCTAACTACAGCCAGCCTGGGCGGCCCCAGGGCGCCGCTCTCCCTCCCGCCCGCCTGCCCACGCAGACCCAGTGGGAGCGCAGGGTGGTGCGGGCCCGGCTGTTCCTTCGGCGGCTTCCCAGGCAGGAGCCCCCCTCCGCCCGGGGAGCCACCGGGCGGCCCAGCGAGGCCTGCTGGCCTGTCTCCCCAACAGTCTCCCCCGAGATGCTCAGTCCGTGCTGGCAGGAGACCCCCACCTCGCATCCACGGGGCAGCACCACGTCAGGTCACTTGGGTGGGGGGGGCACCCCGACCCCCCTACACAGGCCCCCACCCCCCGCGGCAACTTGGCCTGATCTGAGTGGACAGACCTGCTGCCCGCCGTCTCCCAGCAGGGCCCCGCCCCCCGCACCCAGCGCCCGAGGCCCCGCCGGGACACACTGCCCACGTGCAGGCCCACGGCCCCTTCTCCCTGCCTGGCCCTCGCAGGCCAGCCGGCCTCCCAGGAGCAGGGCCACCTCCGCGAGTGCCCCGTGGCCACCGTCCCCACCGGGGACCCCGCCAGGAGGTTCGGCTGAGACCGCTCTCCCCCACCCGGAGTCTCTGGCTGGGGCTGGTTGCGAAGATGGGGTCTGGGGGGGGCTCCCAACGTAGGGCCTGCGCTGCGTGGACTCGGGTGGGAGGGAGGGCGGGGCCGGCCGGGGCCCAGAGCCTGGGATGGCGGCCAACCTGCGTCTCCCAGTGCCGAGGAGCAGAAATCACCGGCCCCCGTCCCAAACCACAGCCTTCCTGAGAACAGGGCCACGGGCGGTTCCTGCACCGGGGGCCCTGCGGCTGCGGTCAGAAGAGAGAACCACCGGGCGTCGCCAGACGCACAGAGGCAGGCGCTGGGTCCTGGCTCCTGCTCCTCCGTCCTCAGGCGGGGACACGTGCAGGCCCCGCCCCCCTGGGCCCTGGGACACGACAGGCACAGCCGCTCTCTCCGCCCCGGGGCTGGGGGGCACCGCGGGGGCGGACGTGTGCGTGATGCGCACACGCTCCGGCCCGGGTGCACCGGTCACGCGGGAAGGCTGTCGGGCACCGACTCGGACGAACCCCGCCTTTCCGTAAGACCGGATCTGGAAGGCTCGGGCCACCGGGGTGCCCCTGCGGGAGCCCAGAGAGGGCAGCACGCCGCAGCTGGCCCCCCGAGAGTGCCCTGGGGCCATCTGACCCCAGGGCAGGGGCCCCGCCTGGGGCGCACGCAGGCGCCCGCCGGGCCAGCGACGAGAATCTGGGGCGTGGGACAGAGGCCGGGCAGCAGTGAGCATTCTGGCCGAGCACCGGGCCCGAGGTTAAGGCGCCTCAGCAGCGAGAGGGCCGCCTGTGGCCCGGAAGGCCCAGGGGGCAGGGCCGGCCCGAAGCCCCTGCCCCCAGAGCCCCGGCCCCCGGAGGAGCTGCTGCAAACACCCCAGGGGGCTCCCCGGGCACTGGCGCCCCACGCCCGCTGCGTCCGCCACACACACCTGGCTGCCCGGTCCTCCCTGACGCTGGCACCGCTGCCTGGAGGAGGAGGCGGCGGGATGGGGTGGAGTCCGAGGTCGGGGCGGGGACGGAGCCCCCAGGGGTGGCTCAGAACCACAGGCTTTGGTTCCCTCTGGAGCAGAGTAACCGCGGGGACCTGACTCCCTGAACGCGGCGCGGACGTCGGCTGGAGACCGTCTCCAGAGGCAGAAACACGTGTTTATTCAGAGCGGGAGCGAGGGGCTGGTTCGGGGCATGCAGCTGGGCGGGAGGACACGTGTGAGCGGTCAAGCTCCGGAGGCAGGGTCCGGACGCTTCGTCTTCGTCCGGCCAGGGAGCCTCGGCGACCGCGCGGTGTCCGGCCACTGCCCATCAGGCCTCCCTCACAGGCCCTCGTCGGTGAGGCCGCGCGGGCTCCCGGCGGGTTTTCCGGGTCTGTGTCTTCGTTTCCCGGGAGGATCGCCGCCAGGGAGCCGAGAGCCGGAGGCAGCCAGGGCTGCCGGGACGCACGCCTCCAGGGCACAGCCAGCCAGCGGGGCCGCGGGGCCTTCTGGGACAAGGGCCCCTCGGTCCCCGAACACGCCATCAGCTTCTGCACCGCTGACCCCTCCTCCCTGGGTCCGGGCGGCCTTCTGTCAGGGAGGCTGGGGGCTTGCTGCGCTGCCCAGGAGCCCCTGGCGAGTTCGCGGGGTGGCCAGAAGGGCGCGGTAGGCGAGTGGCACCCCCAAGACGTCAGGCCCCTAACCCAGAAGCAGAACATGACCTTCCGCGGGGAAGGCCCTGCCTGGGAGGGTCCAGTGAAGGTTCTGCGAAGAGCAGGTCCCCCAGGTGGCTGCGGACGCCGTGCCGCGGGGGCCTTCCCAGAGGGAGGTGCAGGGAGCGTGGACACGGAGGAAGAGAGGCCGCCATCGGGGCGACGCGGCCGCAAGCCCCGCCCCTCTGGGAGCGGGGGCAGGGGTGTCCCCGGAGAGCCTCGGCGGGGTGCCGCTGGTGGACACCCTGATTTCGGACTTCCAGCTCCAGAACCGCAAGGATGAGTCTCTGCTGCTTCTCGCACCCAGAGCGCAGTCACTGGAGGCCGAGGCCGCAGGACGGTGAGGGGGGCGAGGGAGACTCTGTGCCGTGTGAGCCCCCGAGGTTCCCCGCCGGCCAGAGCCCGCCACCGGGGCGGCAGCAGGAGGAGGGAGGGAGGGGCTGGTGTGTGGAGGCCCGGCCGCAGCCCTGGGGACTGTCCAGCTCGCGTGCCGGCCCCGGCCTCGCCCGCGGAAGTCCACCTTCCCAGAAAAGTGACTCCCGGGGTCTCCTTCGAAGCAAACTTCTACCAGCGGGCCGGGCGGAGCGGGCGCTGAGGCTCGTGGGTGGCGGCAGGTGGGCCACCTGGCTGGTGTGACCCCTGCTCGCTCACAGTCTAGTCCTCGAGACGCTAAACCACGGAGCCAATCGGGCGAAGCCGCTTCGTGCTTCGGTGCCGCGAGAGCCCTGGCAGCCGCGCTCCCGGGGCCGAGAGCCAGAGGAATGAGGCCGGGGGAGGCCCACTGGGGCACAGGCGCTCAGCAGGCAAAGCCGCCTGGCGAGATTCCTCCTCCCGCCTCTGCCCACAGCCGGCGCCGGGCCCCAGGGCCGACACTCCCAGGGCCGACCCCTCCCGCAGGGGGTCGTGAGCAGGGCCACCCTGGGCTCCGGGGCCTCAGGCTTTGCTTGGGCGGGTGCTGCGTGGGCTCACCAGCCCTGCAACTGTCCCCCACGGCCGAGATTCGAAGGACACTCCGAGGACTGACCTGCTTGCCACTCCCCCGGTGACAAATGGACACACACGAGAGGGGCCCCGTCCACGCCGCCTCCAGACCAGGCCGAGGGCAGGAGGGCCCTGGGGAGCAGAGGGCTGGGCCGGGGCCGGCAGGGAGCACGGAGTGAGAGGAGACCCCGCGGACGGTCCTCGGGCCGGCAGGGCACAGCCACAGCCCAGGGTCTGAGGCAGGCCACAGCAGGGGGGAGTCCTGGGGAGGGAGCCGGAGGGCCTCAGGGTGTGCCCCTCGGCCCCCGGGGGGCCTCCCTGCTGCCCTAGGTCAGGGCCAGGGCCCTGCCCACCACAGGGCCCTGAGCTGGTGGGAGGTGAGCCTGGCTGGGCGAGGGGAAGTTCGCGCCCATCTCCCAAGAGCAGCTCAGGGTGGCGACCAGGCCCGGGCAGGAAGCAGGTGGGCAGACGGGGTGGGGACCAGGCCCCTCATTGTGACTTCTACCCCAGGGACCACAAACCCCAGTCACATGCTGGCGGTCCTTGCTGAGGCCTCGTGGCTCATCCCCTGGGAAGCTGCGGCCCCAGACAGGCGGGTGCCTGAAGGCCACAGAGACCAAACAAGAAGCCCAGCGAGGGTGGAGGACCGACCCTGTCCTCCACGGGGCCAGTGACCCACCGGACACACCTGCTGCCCAGGCCCCAGCTGGTGGCAGCCATCAGAGGCGATGCGCAGCATCCTGGGACCGCAGGGCGGCCCTGACACCCCGCGTGGGGACCGGTCACGCCCCACAGCCCCACACGGGGACAGGCCTCGGCCCCCAGAGGTCCGTCGGAGGGGCGGGGCAGGAAAGCTGGCACAGCTCTCCTGGAGGGAGAGGCGGAAGGTGAGACCCGGGTCCGGGGACAGACCCGGAGCCGCCTCCAGGAGCCGGGAGCGCCCACTCACCCCCCACCAGCTGAAACCACCGTCTCTGAAAACCGCACCCCTTCCTCCCAGAGTCTCCCACGGGCTAAGGAGCTCCCCCAGGGTGCTTTGGAAACAGGCCACGACCCCCGAACCGGCTCTGTGCTCGAAAAGGCAGCCGACGGCCGGCCCCCTGCTACAAGCGTGTCTCTGGGCCCCGCAAGGCTGGTGTCCTGGAGGGGCCCTCGGAGCAGTGAGGCCAGCGGCTGAGGGCCCCGACCCTCACCCCACCCCGCCCCACCCCACAGCACCCCCACCCGGAGCAAAGGGGCAGCGACGCAGACGCGGCCTGCGGTGGCCCGGAGGGGCCGCCCTCCGCACGCACGCTCGCCCGGCCAGGGAGGCCCGGTCACGTGCCACACTGGACCAGGAACCCCCCGCCTCCCGGGGCCCCGTGCCGCACGGCATCGGCGGCCTCCGACACGGCCTTCCGGTACGCCCCTCTCTTCTTCCGGTCAAACCTCAGCTTGAAACACTCAGAGAAGGGGCACAGTTGGGAGGCCGGCAGGCGTGAGGTCGTCGGAGAGCCGAACCACGAGACCTCCGCCTGCTGCTGCAGCCCCGAGGGCGCCCCGGCCCCCGGCCGGCTGGCGCTGACGGCGAGCACGCGCGCCGGCCACCAAGGGAAGCCGTGAACCTTACCCCACACGATGTCCCCCACGGCCACGGTCCTCCCGTCCTCGGCGGCGCGCGTGGAGAGGCTCTGTGCGTGCAGCCGGACTGTCAGGGGCGGGACCGTCGGCCCGGCCGGCGTGGGGGCGGCGGCTGCAGACCCGCCGTCGCCGGCAGGTGGGTCGCAGGCGTCCGGGGACGTCACTTCGGAGCCGGAGGATTTGGACTCGTCGGGGCTGTCGCTGCTGCACACGGACGCCCCGGCCGAGGTGGCTGTGGCCCCCGGGCAGCCGGCGCGGTCGCCCTGGGGACGCCGCGGGGCCTCGTCCTCCTCCTCCCCGGAGCTTCCCGAGGACAGCTCCACCAGCACGATGTGGGCGGGCGCGGGGGTGGGGGGCGCGGGCTTGGGGGCCGGGGCGCCACGCCCGAGGCCGTTGAGCTCCTCCACCAGCTCTGCCCTGTACACCGGCTGCTGCGCGCCGGCCCCCAGGCGGTGCGGCTTCAGGCGGATCTTGGGGGGCAGCAGGTCCGCGCTGGGGGGCACAGGCCGCGTCAGCTTCAGCTTGGGCACGGGGGCGGAGGGGCCGTCGGGCGGCCTGTCCCGAGCCTCCCGGGGCTCCTGGGCGCCGCGCTGGGCCTGCGGGGGCTGGAAGGGCTCCAGCGAGCCGTGCACGCGGGGCGGAATCTGCACCACCTCGCCGGCGCCCTGCGGCGTGCTGTAGGAGATGCGGATGGCAGGGCTGCGAGGGACCTTCGCCGGCTCCTCCTCCCGTCGCTCCCTCTTGCTCCTCCTGGCGGGGGCGGGGGCCGGGGCCGGGGCGGCGGCCCCCTTGCCCTCACGGCTGCCCTGCTTGCGGGGCTCCCTGTCCGGGTCGCCGCTGCCCAGTCTCCGGCGGGGCCGGGGGGCCGGCGAGGGTGCGGGGCTGGCCTCGGGGGCGTTCAGGGTGCTCTTGCACTTCTCGCAGAGCACCCGCCGCGGCCGCAGGCAGATGGGGCTCAGGGTCAGCTGGCCCGAGTCCGAGTTCCGGCTGCCGCTGCGGGACAGGCGCCTCCTGGTCCTCTTGATGGGCCGGGGCGGCGGCTGCGGCACCCACTGCTGGTAGGTGCTCCTCAGCCAGAGCGGCGGTGGGAAGGGGGCGCCTTCGAAATACGGCTGGAGCAGGGACAGGCCTCCGGTGGGCAGCGGGGTCAGCAGGGCCTGGAAGGGCTCCTCCGGGCAGGGAGGCGGCGGCGGCGGCGGCGGCGGTGGGGGGCCCGCCCCCAGCTGCATGGGCGCTGGGTCCTCCTCCGCAGCGGCTGGGCCCTGGCAGCCGTTGACGGGGGCACCGTCGGCCTGGGACAGCGGGGTGGGCGGGGGCAGGCCGAACAGGCCGTACCTGGGGGGAGACAGAAGGGGCAGTCAGGATGGCGGCGAGCCCACCACTGCCCACCACCCCACTCCCAGGCCCCCCGGGCGCTGGCCCCGAGCAGACACCACACGGGCGTCCCAGGGGGAGGGGCCGGCTCAGGAGGTCACGTGACCAGCATCCAGGCCGCGAGCACCCACATCTCGCTTCCTGGCACCACGGGAGAGCGGGCTCACTGCTGGAGCCCCTCCCCCCAGACCTGGTGCCTGAGGTTCTGGGACCGGCCTGACCCGGCCTGTGGGGGGCAGCCCCCGCGGCTGGGGCCCTCGCTCACAGCCCCCGACGGACGGCTCCCTGTACCCCACCAGAGGGAAGACCCCAGGCAGGCCCCCTGGAAGACCCCCAGTCCCCCGGCCCAGGGCAGTCCTCGGACCGGCCCCGGAGGCTGACCTGTGTCTGGGGGACAGACAGGACTTGGGACACCCAGCCAGAGTCCCAAGGCCGGGTGGGCCCTGACCATCCCCGCCGTACTCGAGCAGGGGTCCTCCGCGCTGCCCTGGCCGCCACCACCTGGAGGACTCCCCCTGCCTGGCAGGCCCCCCCGGCCCCCGGGTGGGGCGCAGCCACGGAAGGGGGCTCGAGAAGGCGGGAGGCCCATCTCCCGGGAGGACCGCCAGTGGCGGAGGCACGAGGGGTGGCCGCCCCCAGGAGCGCAGGGCCACCCCAGGCCCGACCGGGTGCAGTTCCGGCCCGAGAGCCTCGACGACGGTGGCTCGGAGCCGCGGGAAGGCACCGGCCTCGCTCCGGACAGTGAGCACGAGCCCGGCGCCCACCCCTCTCTCCCACGCGAGCGCGTCACTTTGGAACGAGTGTGGCTCCGTCTGTGCGGCTGCCCTCGCTGAGAGCGGCTGTTTTTCAGCAGAAACAGACTTCCAGCCCCGCGACGCGCTGCCAGGTCGGGGGTGGGGCGTCCCCGCCTTCCCCTCGGAGTCCGACCAGCGAGAAGGCGAGGTCGGCCACGGCCGGGCTCCGGTCTGGGGACGCCGTCCCCATCGACCGCTGGCCGGAGAGGGGCAGACCGTCCCCGAGCACCCAGGGCCGCAGGCGCTCCTGACCCTCAGATGGACGCGTGGCCGGGCCGGGGGCCAGGTGCAGAGCGCAGAGCCGGCGACGAGGCCGCACGGGCAGGCGCCTGAGCCCAGGGTCTGCCGCCCGCCCGCCCACGACACTGGCCAGCACGCTGTCACGGCAGGAACTGTGCAGGGCGCCTCCGCCCTGTGCCGCTCCAGACCCCTGGTGAAAGCTGGGAATCTCCACAGACTTCCAAGTCTCTTATTTTGCCTCTCAGACCAGGGGGCCCGCGGCTCGGGGGGGGGGCACAGCCGGGGGGGGCCACCACACCCCCGTGTCCTGAAGCGTTGTCCCCGAGGCCTCCTCGAGAGCCCGCTCCGTGGCCCTGGGGCCGGCACTCAGGCCACGGCCTGGGGTTCACTCCAACACCCCCTCTTCGTCGGCCCCCGTGCCGTGCTGCACTCCCAGGGCCCCGTGCCGTGACCCAGCCCACGCCCCCACCCCGGCCTCCACGTGTCGCCGCCCCCTGCCCCCCGGTCTGCACCCCCACACCCCCTGCCTGTGCAGAAGCAGAACCCCCGCCACCAGAGCGGGGTCCCTGGGCAGCCCCTCTCTCTCACCCTCCAGCCACCCTCCTCTGCGGGGCCCCAGGCCACCTCTCTGCAGGCGCAGGTGGGGCCGGGGGGTGGGGAGCGAGTCTCGGCCCCAAGCCCGAGGGCCCCACAGCTCCAGTCCAGGGAGGCTTCTGACCTCGTTTGGGGTGCCTGCCCCTCAGGGGAACCTGGCATGCTTCTGAGGGACGCAGGGTTCCGGGCCCAAGACCCAGGCCTGAGCCACAGTCCTTGGTGTGGGCCCCCGAGGGGCAGCCAGCCCCTGCCAGCCTGGCCCCGGCCCTCCCTGGGGCGCTTGCCTCCTGGGGGCAGTGGGGGTCCTTCCGCACAGCAGCGGCGGCGGCCCTGTGAAGGGCCCAGCTGCCAGTGGGGATGGCCCCGTGACTCGGGCATGACAGGCAGCCGAACTTCCTTCCCGAGCGGCTGCCCGGCCCAGGCCACACCCACGCGGCCTGGTGGGTGAACAGCGGCCAGCAGGCGGGGCGGCCCGGTTCCCAGCGTGGGATCCCGGAGCGGGTGCCCGGCGGCCGGGGCTGCCGCCCACTCCACGGCCCCCGAGCACACGGGGCAGGGCGTGAGGCTCAGAGCGGCCGGCCAGCCGAGGGGTCTGTGCTCTCGGCCCAGTGCTGCGGGCCCCTGACCACGGTCTCTCAGAAGGGCCTCGGCCACCTGTCCCCAGTGGGAGGAACGTCACCGGGCCCTGGGGCGCGGGCACGGGCTCACCCCAGGGCCGGCCCTTCCGGGGCGTCAAGCTGGGCTCGTGCACCCGGGCGCAGAGGCCCCGGCCGGCCCGGCAGCACCCATGGGGGTCCCGGGCCTGCCGGAGCACAGAGGCCTCTGGGGTCCCCTATGCTCAGGGTGTCAGGGAAGCGTGTCGGCAGGGGGCGTCACGGCAGCCCCCCAGTGCAGGGCCACGCAGGGAAGCCTGCCCTCCCCCAGGGCCACTCGCTGGGGAGAGCCGTGGCACCAGGTGGCCACAGCTGGCCCCAAAGCCCTGGACAAAAAGCTTTGAGAGCCACCAGCAATGTCATAATAAAGCGCAGCCGAGTGCGGCCTTCAGCCGAGTTGCTGAAGACCCCCAGCAACTGCGGGCCAGGCCCCCGGCCCACCACCCCCTCGCCACCTCCTGGCAGAAGCTCTGGAGACAGACACCTGAGCCCCGTCCCCTGGGGTGGCACCTGCCCACGGGCTGCAGGCCATGCCGCCCTTCGATGCACTGGGCGCCTCTCTCCCAGTCCCTCCAGCTGGCCCAGGGCAGGCAGCAGCGTGTGCCCAGCGGGGCCTGGGTCCAGTGTCTGCCCAGTGCACTGTCCTGGCAGCAGCCCCCTGGCGGCCCCACCTCCATTCAGGATGGGGGTGCGCCCAGCATGGAGTGGGGCTGCTCTCCTGCCTGAGGGCTGCTGGCCAGCTGTGTCTCCGGAGCCTGGGTCCCGACCCGCAGGGCGGAGTGTGGGTCACCAACGCCCGCACCCCACCCTGTCCAGCAGAGGGGCCTGGGAGCCCAAGAGGCCAGGACCTCCTGGGGCAAGGCAAGAAGCACCAGCTCAGCGTTGAGGAAGGAGACCCCACATCCGCCTGGCCTGGCAGGCAGCTGGCCTCCCCCCCCTCGGCCTCTGAGGCCACCCGTCGCCTCTGCTGTCCTCGGGACACCCCTCAGCCAGAGCCACCCAACCTGAGGTCCTCAGCCAGAGGTGTGCCCTCAGACCACCCACCAAACGCCCACCCCACCCTGTGCCCCAGCCTGGGGAGCCGGAGCAGGGCCACCAGGGCCTGTGGACCTGCGGGGGCACCCTTCTCGGCCGGGCGGCTGGGAGAGGTAGCCCACCTGCTGGCACACAGCAGGGCTCAGCGAGCGTCCGTGGGCGCGGGCGCCGGGGAGCCCTCGGAGCGGCTGCGGGTCTCGGTGAAGACCACGCAGAGCTGGGCAGCTCGTTCCAGACGCAGCCGGCTGGCCGGCCAGACGACGGGCAGTAGGCGCACGGCACCGGCCAGCCCCACACGGGCACCCGCTGGGCCCCCCCCCCTTGGCCTCAGCACCCCTCTCCCCTCTGCCAAGGGCCCCAGGAACCCCTGGGACCAGCCTCTCGGGAGGGACGGCTCCGTCCCAGCAGAGACATGGGGCCGAGTTCCTGTGCGGGGCTCCCGGGCCCGCAGGCTGGCATGTGACCGGGGACACTGCCGACCCTGGCGGCACCGGCACCCTCGGGGCAGCTTCCCCTGGGCGTCCCAGCACACCCACCGCTCTGGGACCCGAGGGTCCCCGGGGGGCGGACACAGGCTCTGCCCCGCCAGTCAGCACCCTGTCGCCAGCACATACCGAGCAGCAGCCCCAGGCATGTGAGGAAAGGGGCCCCGGGGAAGGCAGGTGGGCGCTGTGGACGCCGAGGCCCGAGGCCAGCTCCCACTGCCAGGGTCACCAGGCCGCTGGGCTCTGCCCGGCAAGCAGAGGCCGTCCCCCTGAGCACGGCAGCTCGTAGCACCGTGGGTGCAGGTGTGGACCGGGGACCCCGGGGAGACGGCAGAGGGGGCCGGGCGGGCCGGCGCGGTGCAGCCGGGCCAGGCCCAGGCCTCAGGGGGCCGAGGGCCGGGAGGCCAAGCTGGTCTCCAGATTCTCCACAAGGACGGAGTGTGGGCGGTGGGGGCCGTGGACGGGGGGAGGCTCAAGTCAGGAAGGGACCCGGCCGAGCAGAGCCGTGGCCACCAGGCCCGAGTCCTGGCTCTGTGGCAGCTCCGGTTACAGCGGAGCGTGGCCGCAGCGGGGCTGACGCCCACGTGTCCTCCAGCTGCCAGATCCCAGCCCGCCGGCCGCTTCCCTCCGGAGCTGGTGGGGAAGGGGGTGGGGAGGTGCAGTCTCCAGCCAGGTTGGACGCAGGCCTCGGGGAGGGCACCGGCGCCTCTGCAGACACCCCCGGCCACCGGTGGGCCGGCCCCCCGCAGCCTCCCTTGTCCCCAGTCCGGGCGCCCGGGGCGCAGGCAGGGGGCACTTCTGCGGCAAGCGCGGCTCTCCGAGGAGGCAGCCGGGCCCCGCAGCCCCGCACACAGAGCCAGGGCTAGGGGCAGGCCCGGGCCTGCAGCCCTGCCTGCGAGAGGAAGTGGTGGCCGCCGGCGGAGGGAGACTCCCCGGGGCGCTGGCCCGGCAGCCCCGCCGCAGCCCCCAGGGTCGCTCGGTCCCCGCGAGCACTCCCCGCCGCAGCCACCTCCGGGCAGGACGAGAGTCACCGGGAGGCCGTGTGTTGAGTCACGTGACTCGTGCACAAATGGCTTCTGGCACATCTCACGAGGAGAGAGTGTCAGCGGGATGGCAGGGGGAGAGTGGCGGCCGCCTCGACAGCGGCAGAACCGGCCGCGAGGCGCGGAGGGAAAAAGTCCGGCATCCGCGAGGGAAGCCGGCGCGGGGACCGGGCGGAGCGCGAGGCCCCGCAGCAGCGCCCAGACCTCCGCGCCTGGGTGATGCCTCATCATTTATCTGCCGACAGCTCACCGCCACGTGACGCGGCGTCCAGGAGACTCTCCCGCAGCAGGGGGCCCGCGGCACAGGTGCGGCTCTGCGCGGGCCCGCCCACCGCCTGCGGGGACCCTCCGGGGAAACCAGCAGAACTTGTGCCTTCGCTCCTGCACCGCCACCCCCCCCCGCCCCTCGCCCCCCGTGTTTTAAACGCCACCGCCGGACACGACTGCGGGCCACCGATGGAAACCTGGGCCCCAGTCGCCCCGAGGAGCCCGGGGCGGCGTGACATCAGACAGGGCAGCACCGGTTGAGTAACTAACGCGACGAGCCCTGCGCATCTGAACCCACTGCCCCCACCCCGACAGGTGACAATTCCGAAAACAGCCTAATTCAGCAGTGCGTCCTCACAAAGAAAAGTGCGTTAATTACGGCAGAGGCGCGGAGTTCCCGGGCCGGGATTCCGCCCGCCCGCCGGCGCCCGGGCCCCTCCCGCCCCCAGCCCAAAAAGTAGCAACGACTTTGAGAGCCACTTTCGCCCCTGAGTGGCGGCCGCGTCCGCGCGCCCCGGCACCGGGGCTGGGCAAACCGAAAGCGGGCGCCGGCGCTGCCCTGCACCTAGGTCCGGTCCCGGGCTGGGTCGGGGTCCCAAGGGGATTCGGGGGGCGCCCGGCACCCGCGCCTCCCTCTGTGCTCACTTTTTCGTGCAGTCCAGCAGGATCCCCGCGAAGCTCCGCTGGCCGTAGCTCACGGTGACCAGCAGCGCGCCATTGACGACCTGCTCCACCCGCACGGGCAGCCGGCAGCCGGCGCGCGGCTCCATGCTCCCGCGTCCCGGCCGCCCCGCCTGCCCGCCGCCGCCGGGTCAGCCCGCGCGTGACGCCGCCGGCCGCCTGACGTCACAAAGCCCCGCTCGGCCAGCCACCGCACGCGGGCCGGGGGCGCGGAGGGTGCGCGGGACTCCGGCCCGCTCCGCCGTCCCGGAACCCGGCTCCACAGACGCGCGCGGGGGCCGCGCCGCCTCCGGAGCCGGGCGTGCAGACGCACTGCGCAGCTCCTGGGCTCAGGCAGGGCGTGCGCCCGGCCTCCGGGTGCGCTGGTGGCGAGCGTCCGCGGAGAGGGCCCGAGAGTGAGAGGCGAGGGGCAGCGGGGAGTCTTCGCCAGCGACGCTCCGGGGCCCCTCCCACACCCCTGCCCCGGGCCTTCCGGGGCCCCTCCCACCCGGCCCCGGGTCTCCTCCTCTGCTCCCCGCCCCCCAGGCCGGGACCCTGGGCCGCCGCCTCCGGCTCTGGCGCCCCGTGGCCTCCGGGCCCTGAGGGGAGGAAGTCCCGGCGGAGCAAGCAGGAAGCTGGTCGGACCGGGCGGAGGGGACGCGGGGCGCCAAGGGGACACAGGCGTGCTCGCCGCGGCGGCCCGGTCTCTCCCTCCGGGGTGGGTGGGGGGCGCTAGGCGGCTCCGGTGTGCTCGGGCCCCGGGGCGAAGAAACGTCGCGCGCCGGGCTCCGGGTGCCCTGTGCACCCGGGGCGGCCGCGCCAGGATTAGGGAGGGCGATCCCGTCTCCAACTCCCAGTCGCAAACCTGCCGCCCTGGGTTGCTAGGGAAACAGCGGGCTGCGTGCGACCCCGCCACGGCTGGAGGGGCCGGATCGCCACGCGGCCAGTTCACAGCGTGGAGGGACATTGGGGGGAGAACGGGGCCTGCGGCGCGCAGCCGGCCTGCGACGCGGAGTGGGACCTGGAGGTGCGGAGCAGACGTCGGACCCCCGCCCACGTCCTGCTCGCGCGCGCCTTCCGCGCGAACCTCCCGACTTCGGCGAGCACTTGCGCGCAGGGCCCAGCCTGTTGCAGTGACCTTGCCCGGAGCCCGGCCCGGCCCCCTGAGCCGCGATTGCTGCGCCTGGCTGGTCACCGGAGACTGGCCCGCAGCCGGTTGTCCTGGCGACCCGGACGCCGCCCGCCGCCAGGCCCCGCCCGGCCCCGCCCGGCCGCACCCTGCGTCATGGCCGCCACCCCTGGCGCCGCCTGGGACGGCGGGGCCGCCGCAGCGGCGCTCGTGTTCGCCCTCAGGCGGCCGCGGGGCGCAGGTCCGTCGGAGAGGAGCCTGGGCGGAGCCGAGGGAGGCCACAGGGACCTGGTGGCGCCTCGCCGCCCCTAGCAGTGCAGGGTTGGGGGGCGAGGCCAGGGGCGCTCCTGTCCACCCCTAGCAGAGGCGCTGAGCAGAGGCTGGCCTCCAGCCTCCGCAGGCCCAGGTCCCAGCTCACGCCAGAAGGGCTCGGCCCGTCCTCCAGTCTCTCAGGAGACTCTCTCCAAGTCTCGGATCCCATGTCCCTCCTCCCTAGCCCCTGAAGCCACCGGAGAGGCTGCCCAGCGCTGCCCAGCGCTGTCCTCCGGCTGGTGCAGCCTGTGCCACACCCCGTTCTGTGCCTCCCACGAGCTCCACAGGACTGGAACAAAAGATGCTCTGGTCACCTGGCCGGGTGGCTGGTGGTGTCTCCCGCACCGTCCCCACTCCCTCCAACCGGAGCTCACCCCCGGGGGCTGGCCCCGGGTGGGTTCATCCAGCACAGCCGAGGGCTTCCACAGCTGCCTGATCCGGGGGCCAGAGCCACGGGTCACAGACCACGGTTGTCTGTGGGGCCGGTGCCCAGAGGCCACGGGTGTGAGGGCCAGGACGGGCCCCACGGCTCGGACACAGGCCACCCCGCAGCAAGTGTCCTGCTGGGCAGTTGCCGGAAGGGGGAGGTCAAGATGAGGATCTCGAGTGTTGGGGGCCGCCCCGCCTGGTCTCAGGAAGCTGTAACCCGCCCCCCCCCACCCCGTGACTCAGGCTGAGTGAGAGACCCCCGGACCAGGAGCCACGGAGGAGACAAGTCTCATTTCCCTGGCGTGGACGCTGCCCGCTGTAATGCCTGGCTCCCTTCTGCATTGCGTGGTCGGCAGTCAGTGACGGGTAACAATTCTCTAGGAGAAGGAACCTCAGACAGACGCGATCACGTGGGGCGGCCCAAGGGAAGAGGCCGTGGGAAGGAAGGGGTGATGGCCGTCAACCCTGCCCCCACCTTGGCTTTGTCAAAGCCTGAGTCCTTGTCCTTGGGTGTGAGAAACCCAGGTCTCCTGGCTGCCTCTGTCTCCTGCCCCTCTCAGGCCTGCGGGGCGGTGCAGGCCAGACCGGAGACGGGGGACCCCCGGGGTGATCAGGCCTGGGGCGTAGAAGATGCAAGGTCCTGTGAGATCTGCTTGCTGGAGGCTGCTATTAACTTGGGGTTTGAAGGCACAGGCAGGAAACCTTTGGGATCTGTAGTCCGTTCATATATTAAACCCCCAAACTTTGCCCAGAATCACAGCAGTTCTGTCCCCACCTTTGTAAGTTGTTGACATCTCTGGATCTTTTCTGCCAGACTGTGAATCCACAAACTAAGTCTGTTTTCTCAATAAAAATCTGCTTAAGTGTGGACACGGGGCTCTCCCCACGTGAGAGAGGGTGGCCGTTCTGTCCTATTTCCCCACAGGACCTGGTCGTCTCTGTGTGTGTTTCTCTCCTGTTTCGACGAGCCATCCGCAGCGTCCTGTGCTCACTGCAGGCAGGTGGGCACGCGGCACTTGAGAGCCAGAGCCTGGTGAGCCCCTCTTGCCCTGTGCTGGTGGCCACCCTAGGCCCAGAGCAGAGTGGGGTGCATGGCCGACCAGGCTTCCCTCCCGGCATCACCACCTTCACCTTCATCATCACAGTCATCAGGCACCACCACCACCGTCACTACCACCGCCACCATCACCACCTTCATCATCACAGTCATCAGGCACCACCACCACCATCACCACCATCACCACTATCACCACCTTCATCATCACAGTCATCAGGCACCACCACCACCACCACCACCATCACCACCGTCAGAGTTCTCCCCAGCATCCCCAGCAGCGAGGCCAGCAGTGGGCGCCCCCAGCCCAGGCCATGGTCGGGCTGATGGCAGCAGCAAACCTGTGCTACCACCCCGGCAGCGCCCGCCCCACTGGTGTTCCACGGGGCCAGAGTAGATAGATGCTCAAGGGCCCTGGTGGGGGGCTGGCGCCTAAAGAGCTGCCCCCACCCCGTGACTGGTGCCTTCCCATGTCCTGTGAGGCGACACTCCAGGGTGGCCCTGAAGCCCCACCAGGCCCAGATCTGGGAGCCCGGAGGGTGCAGGCATCTGAGCAAGAACGTTTTCAGGGCAGGGCCTCTCTCTCCCAAGCAACTGCTGTGGTTTCAAAACCACTGATCTGCAGCGCCCCCTCCTCTGAGCCCTGTTTCTGAAGCTGCGCCTGTCCCCCATGCTGAGCGGGGGCCCGTGCTCAGGCACGTGCGAGCCCCCAGGCCGTGGCGGGGCCCGGAGAGGTCCAGGGGACAGAGGCGCCTGGGCACCGCCAGGTCCACGTTGGGCCTGCGCTGCAGGCGGCTGTCGATGCCCTGGGTGGGCAGAGGCAGGCGGGCCGGGGGCCCACCCTGCGCGGTGCAGCCGTGGCAGCGCGGTGCAGCCGTGGCAGCACAGGCCACGGCTGAAGGAGCCACGCCGCGCTCGTCCGTGGCCTAAGCCTGAGGGAGGTCTGGAGGCTTCTGCTCCGTGTCCCGAGAGTCCAAGCTCCTACGGAGGGGCACGTGGGGGAGCCCCCAGGGGCTCCTGCGTGGCTGGCCACGTGGCCCTAGGTCATGCAGGGGTGGTGAGGGCCCGGTCCTGGCCTTGTCCCTGCTCAGCAAGCACCGGGAAGGACAAGGAAGGGGGGGTGGGGGGCGGCGGAGCAGGGGTGGCACCTCCAACACCTGCCTGGCCGGGGAGGACGCAGAGGGGCCGTCACCGCCAGTGGGCGGAGCGGCACACAGGACCCGGGGCGGGGGTGGAGCCGGCGGAGTCCCTGCCACCGGAGCAGCCAGCCAGACACACGGACGGGCACCGCAGGGCTGAGGCCAGGCCGGTCGCCACCACGGAGCGCTGACCCCGAGTTTCTTTATTGATCGGTTTGAGACACACACAGACGTCGACCTGCCGTTCCGCTCGCTCGTGCACTCGTCGGCTGACTCCTGCACGCGCCCCGACGGGGCTGAACCCGCGACCCCGGCGCGTCGGGACGGCGCCCCGACCGGCCTTTCTGCTGCAGCTGTCTCCCAGGCACCGGCTTCGCCCGCCCGGCTGCTGGGATTCTTGGGGCAAAGGGACTTCGGGGGGAGGCGGTGGCGTGGCTGCAGCTGGGCCCCGGGCGGGACATGTGTGTCCCAGAGACCGCAGGGGCGAGGAGGGCCTGGGGGCGGTGTCCCTCCGCCGGGGCAGTGCGTGCAGAGCAAGGCCCCGGACCCGACGGCGGCTGGACGCAGAGCCGGCGTGAGAGATGGCAGGGCCAAGGGCTGACCAGGGCCAAGGGCTGACCGGGGCGGGGTCTGGGCGCCCCTGGGGCGGGGGTGGCCCTGGCCGCATTCCACCATCGGCTCGCAGGGCAGGGGTCTGGCCCCAGGAAGGGTGAGAGTGCTCTGGAGGGACAGCGAGCTCACCACTGCCCCTCGTGGCTGTGTCGCCTGGCGGGAGTCGGCGAGTGGGTCCCCCCCCGCCCGTGGAAACAGCCGAGTCAGGGACGCCCCGGTCCCGGCTACGTTCGTAAGGGCCGGTCGCTAGAGACGAGCACGGGGGGCCTGGTTCGCAGTGTCCTCTTCCTCCTCCGACGGCAGCTGACACCTTCGGGGCCTCCAGAAAGCAGCGCAGGTGAAAAACAAAACACAAAAAGCAGGCTGCCTGCGCAGAGAGCCGTGGGGACAGGGAGACCACGGCCCCGGGACCCCGCACGCCCAGGGGAGCCCGCCGGCGCTGGGCCCAGCTGCCGGGCTGGAGACACATCTGTCAGCGCGCGCGGGACTCTGCCGTCAGCAGCTGTAAACGTTTTCAGGTGCTTAACACTTCGTGTTAGAAAATACGTCCTGAGGCCGTGCGGCCGGTGGGCGCGGTGGAAGGTCCCCGGGGAGGGCCGGGCGCTCACGGCGGCTGCTCACGGCGGCCCCGGGTTCTGCTTCACCGCCTCGTCCTGGAGCTTCCTGGCCTTCGGGGAGGGAAGGGGGGACAACGTTAGCCAGCCAGGCGGGCCGGGGCCAGCCTGCCGCGCACACTGTCCTGTGGAGGGCCCTGTCCCCCGAGACTTCTCTGGGTGGCTTGGCCCTGCCCTCGTGAGGACAGTCACACTCCCAGGGCCCACCCGAGGGTCCCTGTGCACAGCTGTCTGCCAGCCAGTGAGGAACGAGGGGAATCCACTCTCCTGGCCCCGCAGCCGGCACCAGCCCGACCGGCCGGCTGGCGGCGGTGCCACTGGAGACGCACGGCAGCCCGGAGGGGCGGGGCTGCAGTGGCCGCCCCACCGAGCACGGACGCGGCCGGCACCCCTGCCACAGAGGGAATCCCTGCGCCCGGGGCCTGGAGCAGGCTCTGCCCCAGGAGCCCTGGCCCCGGCCCATCCGCTGGGCCCGGGCGTGACGTGGAGGCGACAGGTGGCCCGCCGGTGGCCAGCGGCCAGCAGGGAGGAGCAGGCTCCTCCCGCCTCTGCCCTGGGAAGCTGCCCAGTGGCGCTGCGTCCGCGGTGCCTGCCCTCCCACCCCCAGGGAGGGCCTGTCCTCGCGGGGCCTCGGCCCCGTCTCCTGGGGCACAGCCTGGACCCCCGCCCGCGGCCCGGGCCCCGTCCCCGGTGCAGACGCGCCGCAGGCCCGGACACCGGGGTGGGCGGGCGTCCTCACGACCAGCGAGCGAACATGAGATGCTGCCAACCCCCTGCTTACGTTCTCTCCCTAAGACGTCTGTGTTCCTCGTGGGATCACTTACACTTTGCTTTCTCCGCCCTTGTCCCCGAGCCCTCTCAAACCTCCCCGCTCAAGTCCTTGGATGGCCCGTCTGCCCTGTGCAGACCCTGGGCCCCTGGCCCCCCGCCTGGAGGGGCTCCCCTCCCTGGACACAAACCCCTCCCTGTCCACCCTTGTTTGGGAGCGCGCACTTCGAAGAGGCTTCCGGAGAAGGACTAAGCAGGGAGTAGCTTTTTAAGTCCCTCCCTCCACGCTGGCCCTGGCTGCCGACTGGTCGGAGCAGACCACCACCAGACTGTGGACGCAGCCCCGCTCCCCAAGGGGCCACAGGGCCACGGGGCCATGGGGCCACGGGCCGGGCCTTCCCTCCCCATGCACTCAGGACGCGCCGCTCCCTCGGACGGATGGACGACACGGGGCCTTCGGTCTGGAGACTCGTCCCCTCCAGGGCCTGCGGCGCCCCCCGCCCCCGCCCCCGAGGGCTCTCGGGGACTCCGGGCAGCCGGCAGCCACTCCCGGGGACAGGCTCTCCTTTCTCCTCCGTTCTGCTTCCTCGGGACATGCTCAAACTCACCCATTTAAGTTCTTTGTAATTAAAATTTTTCTAACTCAGCCCCCAGAATCCCTGGTTATCTGAGCGTCCCGTTTCCACAGCTGCTTCCCGTCGCCATGTCTTCTGCCACGGCCCCGAGGGCGAGCCTGGTCTCGGTTCTGTTTCCCGCCACGTCTTCCTGTCCCAACGCACTCCCGCGGGTCTGTGGGCCTCAGCCTCGCTCCACCCGGGCCGTCCGTCCGTCCAGGCCGGGGCCCGTGACTCTCTCCCTCTGCTGATCCAGGCACCGGCCCACGGCTAAACACAGGGGCCGCTGGTGGGTGGGGCTTCCCGCTGGGAGGCGGCCCTGCCGGTCAGGGTGGGGCGGGGCAACCAGGGCCAGGGTTCCCAGGTCCTCTGTGCAGCCGGCCGCCCGATATCCTGGGCGAGGACCCCGCAGGCTCACGACTGCCGTGCACACCTGGCCCCAGCCGTGGAGGGGCCCGATCCCCACCACTGAGCATGCTCAGAAGGGTCTTGGGGCCTCGCCGGGGGGCTGGGGGGACTCCAGGCTGAACCTCTCTAGACCCCAAGTCTCCAGCGGAGTGGGTGGGCGTCAGGGAGCTAAGCGGGTGGCTGGGGCTGGGGACGGGCCACGGCCAGGGCATACCCAGCTCTCAGTGCGCTTTCAGTCTCACAGCCTGCGCCCTTGGGGCCTGCGGGAGGGGCTGCTGGCTCCCGAGGGGGTGCCTGGCGGCTGCCCCCACACTTCCCACCAGGTGGCTTCCTGCTTCCAGAGCGAGGCCACTGGCCTGGGCGTCAGGACGCAGGCTCAGGAGGTGGAGCGGGATCTGGGGGGACAGCTCTCAGGGCTGCAGACTGGCGCTCCCCGGCTCACTCCAGGACTCCACCTCAGGGCCCGTCATGGCTGCCCCAGGACCTGCCATTACGTGTGCATTCCAGGCAAGCTCTGGGAGTGCATGCGCCTCTCTGTTCACGTCCCGTTGACCAGAAGGTGGTCACGTGAGGTTGGAAGATGTGGCCTTTGGCAGGTGGCCTGCGCTCTGACATGCGACACTGGGAGCGTTGCCCGTCACGGTGGAGTTGCCACAGCCCCCGCCCCCCCGGGCCACACAACACGCCTGCTGCCAATGGCACCGCTCTCCTCTCTCGGCCCGGGGGTCCTGCGGGCGGCGTAAACGGACGTCGTTGGACAGGACCCTTGGTGGGCGCGTCTCGGGAAAACAGCTGCTAACTGGGGTCCTCCTGAAACACCTGCCCGCCCACCCGCCCTCGCCACGGCATCTCGGGAGCCCCCGCCCTGTGCACCGCACACCACGCCCCCACCCCTCCGGGTCGACTCGCGGGCCTGTGTCTGAGTCAGCGCGGCTGCAGCTGCTCAGAGGTGCAGACTCCCGTCGTGGGTCACGGCCCAGCCACAGGCCGGCAGCCGCGGAGGCAGGGATGGCCAGCCACGTGGGAAGACGAGAGTGAAACTGGCTGATGGGGGCCGTGTGCCCCCCACCACATTCCTGGGGTTTGAGCCTGTTCTCCCGTGGCCCCCCAGTTCCAGGACGGCCCGGCTCCGGGGCGGCGCGGCGCAGCAGGGTCTCCGAGGGACGCACGGGGGCGCACGGCACTTCCGTCTCCTTGCAGGTGCCGCGTGCGCACCGCCGCGAGTCCTGAGACCCCGCTGGGAACCAGACGCTGACACCAGATGTGAGACGCTCGACGGGATGTTTCAGCCACAGGCGAGCAGGGCCAGGCACGACCACCCCGTAGGCCCGGGCCCGAGCCCTGGGGGGCGCAGCGCGGAGCTGAGTGCGGGCTGCGGGCTCCCACGTGGGGGTCGCCGCGGTGCCGCTGCTCACCCCTCAGCCTCCCGGGCCTCAGGGTCCCGACCGGGACACGGGCCCCGCCTTCCTCGCGTGGCCGCTGGGCTGGTCTTGGACCGGTCCCGCCGCCTGGCCGCCGTGGCTGCCCGCCGGCCGCTCTCTGTGGGCCCCCGGACGCGCCCTCCCCGTCAGAGGGCGCCGGGGGAGCACGGCGCGGAGCACAAGGGCCACTGCCTGGGCTCCGGGCTCCAAGGAGACTCTTGCTGTCCAAACAGACTCGCCGCACCCGGGTTTCTCGGGGGGCCTCACGCGGCCCCACCAGGCGGCCTCCGCGTCTGCGCCGCAGACCCCCGCGGACCGTGTCTGGGGGCGTCCTCGCTGTCCGCCGGCCCGCTTTGGTTTTGGGTGCGTACGCAAACCGTCGTGCCCTTCGGGTCAAACTCCACTCATCCGTCGCTGTGCACCATCGGTGACTGGTTGGGGGGTGCTGACCTCGGACCCCAAGACCCTGCTGTAGCTGCCTTCTTGGTGGGTTTTCGGAACCATCTGCCTGGACAGTGACGCCGGCTGAGGACACAGACAGTTTCTCCTCTTCCCCCTCGAGCAGGACGCCGTCGCCCGTCCTGCGCCACTGTGATTGCTGGGCCCCCCGCCCAGTGCTGGAGGACGGTGAGGGGGTCGCCCCTGTTCCTGGCTGGGGTGGGGCGGGGCGGGTGGAAGCCTCTGGCGTCTCGTCAGAGTGTGACGTCGGCGGCAGCGCTGGTGCGCGTCCTTGGTCAACTTCAGGAGGTCCCCTCTGCGCCCAGTTCGCCGAGAGTTTTACGCAAACAGATGGAGGGTCTCATCATTGGCTTTCCCTGCTTCTGTCCCAGGGTTGTGGGACTCCCCCTCTTTAGTCCGTGGGTGTGGACGCTACGTAAGCTGACCGGGCAGCACTGGGCACGGCCGGCCGTGCACACCCGGGACGGGCCCCACCTGGTCCTCGTGGGAGGGCAACCCTCCTCACATGCCGAGGGGCCTGGTCTGAGCGCGCGCTGGTCAGGACTCGGCGTCTGTGGCCACGAGAGACCGGTCTGCGGGCCCCTCTCGGGCGACGTCTCCGTCTGGGTCCGGTGCCGGGGCCGTGCTGGCCCCGGGGGACTCCCGAGCGTCCTCCGGAGAGAACGCCGGGAGGAACTCAAACCACCCACGACCCTGCTCAAGGTTATCAGCTCGTCTTCTTCCGTAGCGATCCGCCGACCCAAACTTGTTCTTGCGAGTTTTGGCAGGTGGTGTCGTTGAAGGGGCCGGCCCATCTCAAGTGGGTTATCGGATCTGTGAGCACACGGGGTCGCTCGCCCCACAGACAGACCCCGGAGTCGGGGCCGGAGGCGGCGGGCCGGGCACACATGTGGAAACCCTGAGGGGCAGCGCCGGGGCGCCCGGACCAGAGTGGGCTGGCCTGGAGGTGCAGGGCTCCCCGGGCGGGGCAGGCAGGGTTGGAGGGGCGGCATCCCTGTGGAGTGACCCAGACCCTGCTTGGGCCTCAGGAGAGCAGGGACACGAGACGGGCCCTCTGGCAGGTTGTGGGGACTGTGCCACTGGCTCTGGGGACAGTCTCGGTGCAGCCCAGCACCAGCGGGGGGCCAGGCCAGTCTGGGGCAGCGCGGGGGCAGGTTTTTGAGAACAAGAGGTGCAGAGGCCTCCAGGATGGGCCCTGGCGATGCCCTCGAGGCCTGGCAATGCGGGGGGAGGGCAGCAGCTCCTCTCACGGGCTGGGCAGAGGGACTCAGTAGGGCTCACCCATCTCCGTGGCAGGATGGACGTCGCCTCCAGCTGGGCGGAGAGGGGCTGACCGTCCCACACAGACACCAGGCGCTCCGGTCCGCCAGGCCAGGCGAGGCCCGGCCCCGGTCGGTCCCCTAGGCAGCGGCAGCCCTGGGCCCCACCGGCCCTGCTGGCGCGAACGCTCAGAGAGGACCCGCAGACACGCCCCAGACACGCCCCAGACACGCCCCGCCGAGTCTCCACAGCTGCGGCGAAGCTGTGGCCAGGCCCTGGGCGACTCAGGGCCCCTGTGGGCTCCCACGGGGCACCGGGTGCGCCTCTCCCCTGAGCAGGCGCCCTGCTGGGGCCGACCCCCGCGGCGAGGCCCGAGAGCACCCGCACCCCCGGTCTTGGTGGCACCACCCGGCCGGAGGCAGAGCCGGCGACACTCACGATTTCCGGGTCCTCGGCAGCCTTCCGGATGGCCCCCAGCGGCGCCGGCCCTCCGAACACCGCTCGCTGCTCCCGCACCTGCCAGAGGTGCCGTCTCAGCCTGTCCTCCAGCGCCCCCTGGTGGCCGGCTCTGCGGAGACCAGGGCCACGCGCTCAGGCTGCCCTCAGACTTTCCGCTCCCAGCGGCGGCCGACGGCACTTTCCTTCCTCCCTCAGGCGTGCACGCTGCCCTGACACGGCGATGGCGACGAGGCCCCCCCTCGGCCACCCCCCCGCGCAGGCCCGGAAGTCCCCCCTACCCGACCACCGAGTGCTGCACAGTCAGGGCCCGTGCCCACGCAGCGGCGTGCATGTTCACGCCAGGGGCGCAGCGCCGGCGAACCCCCACCCGCGGGAGCGGGACACCGCACTGGGGCAGCCTTCTGAACACGGGTGCTCTGGGGCGTCGTGGCGTCAGGGCCGTCCCCCCCGCGCCCCGACCCCAGGCACAGGCAGTGCTGCTCGAGTGGCAGAGAGGCCGAGGCCCCGGCAGCACTTGCAGACGGCCGCGGGCAGGGGCGTCCCCTCGGGCCGAGAGGGCTCAGCCAGGAGGAGAGGGTGTGGGGGACGAAGACCCCGAGCAGCTGCTGTCCCTGCGGGGGGGGTCCCCAGGGGACGTGCGCACACGGGGGGGGGTGACGGGTCGAAGGGCCACAGCAGCCCCCACAGGTCTGGGCCCCGCCCATCAGGCGCTGGTGGAGCGCCGAGGCCTCTGAGCCGGGGTGGGCCGGTGGGGTGGTGGGGGCCTGAGCTCTGGGGGCACCCACACGCCCGCCCGCCCGCCCCAGGGACCAACCTCAGCGTGTCGCCGCCTCGCAGGGGCCTCTCCTTGCCCTGCGCCCTCTGTCCAGGCGGGTGCGCCGGCGCTCTCGCCTTGTCCGGCAGATCTGCGGCGAAGGGCCCCTCGGATGCCACCTAGGGGAACGCGGCACGGTGCTCGCGGGTCCCAGGGGTTGCCGCCATGGGCACAGACGCCGTCCCCGAGGACACCGAGGGGTGACTGCAGGACAGCAGCTCCTGCCCTGCGGTCACCCCCAGCCTTGGTCTCGGGCCGGAAGGCCCCCGCAGCGCCCGGGGCCGCTCCCAGGAGGCCTCGAAGGCAGAAACACACGAGCGGCCAGGGCTCAGGCCTGGGGAACCGAGGGCACGAGGCGCCGCACAACCACTGCTCAGCGGCCGAGTGCCCGGCCTCCCGGCGGCCGAGAGGACCAAGGGCGGAGACCCGGCGAGATGCCCGAGGGCACACTGGGCTCCCGCCGGCACCCACCGCACCGCAGGGCTGACCGGCGAGCCCAGCACTCAGCCGTGGGGCTGTTGGCCGCCCCCCACCCCGCACGGCCACCGCCCGCCTGCCCCACGCACCAGCGTCCGCCGGGGAGGCCGCAGCCGGCCGAGCTCCTCCTTCCTCCTCAGCGCCTGGGCCTGCTCCCGCCACCGCTGCAGGACCCGCTGGTCTCTGGAGAGAGATAGCACGTCAGTGGGGGGGGGGGGGGCGCTGCAGAGTTCACACGCGTTTCTACCGTCAGGCACCAGGCTTCACGCGAGAGCCTTCGACTCCCGGTCCGTCCGCCCAGAGGGCCAACGCCCGCCCGACGCACACCCCAGGCAGAACAGGCGCCCCCCGGCCTCCGCCGGGCAAGGCGACAGGAGGCCAGGCCCCGGGAAGGTTTACTCACAACGGGCCGCCCCCCGCACAGGGGCAGGGGTCCCCGGGCTGCACAGGAGGCAGCGGGGCTGCAGCCACCCCAGGCCCCTGGACGGGGGAGGAGAGGCTGCCGGAATCCAAGTGAGGAGCATGGTCAGGCCACCGGGAGGGACCCAGCAGGCCCCAGGGGCACTCACAGGGAGGGGTGGGGGTGTCAAGTGCTCCCTCCTGCCCGACCCCGGCCAGGGCCCCCCACTGGCCAACCCAACCAGAAAGAGAGGCGCCCCCGGGCGTTGTGGGAGAGGTCCATGCCGGCCTGCAGGCCTCCCGAGGCCCGGAGCGCAGGGAGGGTGGTCAGCCGGCAGGGCAGGGCAGAGACTGAGCGCGGACGTGACTGACGAGACGCAACTTTCAAGCAGCCTCCCTCAGAGTCACCTGCCGGCCAGGGCGTTGAACGGCGAGGAGGGCGGGTGAGGAAGAAGGAGGCATCGAAGGCAAGGGAAGGCGGCAGGCAGGCAGGCAGGCAAGCGAGGTGGGGGGCGGGCACGAGGGGCCCGGGGGCGGGGCGGGGAGAGGCCCCCCCCGCCAAGGGCTGACCTCCTGCGCTGCTCCATCAGCGCCTGCTTCTCCTGCAGCTCCCGCAGCGCCGAGGCCCGCCTCTCCTCCAGCCGCCCCGCCCAGCTCGCCGCCAGGTACGCCGAGGCCGGGCCGGGCAGGGCGCCCCGGAAGGAGGGCGCCGTCCTTCTGCAACGACACGGGGTGCGTGCAGCCGAGCACCCGGCACACGCAGAGGACCACGCAGCAGGCAGACACACGCCAGAGCCCACGCACGGCCCGAGAGCTGGGCTCGCGGCCGTCTGCACGCGGGGCCGGCCGTGGCGGCCCCCGATGGCGTGCCCCCCCGCACTCCCGCCCCCAGCGCCAGGCGGCCCCAGGGCTGCGGGCTCTGCCCGGCTCCCGAGTGACCCGGACGCGCGCTCACTGCCGCTCACAACGAAAACGACAGCGGAGGGAGGAGGAGGTCGCTCACAGCAGGCCAGACAGTCCCGCCCCTGAGTGGACGACGCCGGACAGACGGCCGGGCAGCCGTGGAGACCTGCGTGACCTGCTCCCGCACCCCCGGGGCTGCGACCGGCGACACCGCAAACGTGCGTGCCCGGGAAACCGCGAGCCCCCAGGACAGGCGGGAGGAGCGCAGTGGGCGCCCGGCCCGGCCGCCTTTCCCGCGGACGGCGGGCTCCGGGGCTCCGGGGCTCCTCGGCCCCGGCCTGCTCAGACCGGCCGCTCACACAGCAGACCACACGCACACGACACACATGGTGCACGTGTGCGGCACACACACATGCATGTGCAACATGCGGTGAACACGCGTGCCACACAGTGCACACACGCTCTCTCAGACACACGGGACTGGGGCTCTTCCGCTGCGTGTCTGCCTCATCGGGGCCGCGCGGGGCTGACTCGAACCCGCAGCGCGGCTGGGACCCACATGCAGCCGGTGACGGTGGCGCAGCAGACACCCCCCACCCGGCGTCTTCGCGGTTACCAAGTGGTTTCCAGCCTCGCGGAGACCGAGGAGAGCCCCCCTGCCCGCCCCAGGCTCCGGGACGCACCTGAGGGCCGGCCGAGGGCCGGGGCGCGCTTCCTCCCGGCCGCCGCGCAGCATGGCCCGCAGGTTCGGGGGCAGCTCGACCGCCAGGAGCTGGTTTTCCAGGACCTCCGCCTGCTCCTTCTCCACGATCTCCTGCCGCAGCTTCCAGAAGCGCCTGAGCTCCTCCTCCGTCGGCCAGTCTTCGCCAGACCGGGCGCACCTCCGGGGCTCGCTCAGCTCCGCAGCTTCCGGGAGCCCAGCCCCCTCCGGCTCCTGGGAGTCTGTGGTCTCTCTGTTGGGTGCGTGCTCTTTGGGCGAGTCCCAGCGGGGATGCGGCGGCTGGCTCTGGCTCTGGCTCTGGCTTGGGGCCGTCTTTTCAGGGGGCGGGGGCGCTGGTGAGACAAAGCCCCGACTCAGCCGACCCCGCTGCCATGCCGGCCCCACCTCTGCCAGTTACCCCGGTCTCTGCCCGCCCGGAGCCCACGCGCCTGCTGGGCTGGCCGGCGGCGCGCTGGTGGGCTTCTAAACAGGCTCACCTCCGGCTCCGGGTGAACTCCGTGAGAGCCCACCGGCCTGCAGCGCACCGCCCGTGGTCTCTGCCGGGCTCCGCGTCAGGACGGGGAGCCACAGCGCCCCACAGACGGGGGTCTGCTGGCCGCCCAAGGCCCCTGCTGCGTGCACAGACGCCCGACAGGACGGGGGGCCCCCAAACCTGGGCCGGCACGGGCTCCCCAGGCAGACAGCCGCGTCCACCCCAGACACACTCTCGACAGCGCGGACCACCGCCGCTCTCCTAACAGTGCCTCTGGGTGGCTCTCGTACCAGTGACCACAGCCTCGGCCTCCCGAGCCCCCCCCATCCCCCGCCCCCCGCTTCCCACTTCTCGCCCTTCCCACGTTGACTGCGCGTCGACGGCAAACACAGAAGAGCAACGGGCTGAGACGCAACAAGGGCGGCGGCGGCCTCAGAGGCCCGTCGCTCCCCGAAACCCTGCTCTCCAGAAAGCATTCCCAGCGCCAGGGACTCGCCGTCTCTTCCTCACGGAGAAGCTGTCTCCAAGCGCAGCGTCCGGGAGGCGAGCTCGGCAGACGAAACGGGCGAAGGCCTGGGGTCGTCGCTGTGCCCACCCCGCGCGACCCCGTGGCCAGGGTCTCCTGTGGGACACGTGCTGGGGCCACACGGGACCCACGACACACGCATGCATGGGACGGCACACACCCGACACTGCGTGCTCCCGACCACCGCGTGCACGGGGCTGCTGTTTTTAAAGAAGAACCGTTACGACCCGGGTAGCCACGGCCTGAGGACGAGCCACCGTTCAGACGGGGCCCTGACGCAGCCTGGGGTGAGGGCTGTTCCGTGATGTTCACGCCAGGGGACCTGCGCCCAAACCCACCCAGACCGGCCCTGAAACAGGCCCTGGGGACGCCGCTGGCAGCACAGGGCCGGGAAAGACGCGGCCCCGCTGGCCGGCAGGGAGGCCGCTCGGGGCCCAGGTGCCGGGAGAGTCCGGCAAGGACGCGGGAGGCCCCCGGGCCCCGGCCACGAGAAGCGCTGACCCCGGTTCCCGTGCAGGTCGCCACGGGAACTGCCCCACCGACCTCGAGGCGCCGGCTCCGTGGCGCAGGCGCGCAGGAAGCTCAGGATGGCGGCCGGGCCCTTCTGCACCACGAGCTGGGGCGGGAACTCCACGGGGCAGCACCTCAGGTTCAGGGCCCGCAGTGTCCTCACGTTGCCTGCGGGGGGAGAGCCGGCCGCGTCTCACGGGCCGCCCGCGCGCCGGGGACGCCGGGCGGCGACTGCCTGCACGCCAGGGAGAGGAAGGCCCTGCTGAGGGCTGTGGGCGAGACGACGGGCCCGGGGCCCGAGGTTTGCGCCGGAGAGAAGCTGCAAAGGGGGCGGATCCGCAGGCCCAGGCCAGCCCGGCCGCAGAACTAGGTCAGTCGCACAGGCGGGAGCCGCAGCCGAGGCCCTGGGGCGAAAGCACAGCACGAGGCTGACGGGACACACGTCCCAATGTCGGGCCCCGGGGCCCGCGGGCGCGTGCATGCCCCCCCACAGCCCCAGCGACCGCGTGTCACAACCTCCTCTTACTGCGTCGCTGCAGCACTCACCCAGCTCCACAGGTAACATCTTGATGGGATTCCTTTCTAGGAGCAACGTCTTCAAATACCTTTAAAACAAAACAAAAGAGGCATCGTTTAAAAAGCAGAGGATCAAGTGGCCATCCTAAGCGACGCCTTGCCTTCGCGTGAAGGGGGCGGGTCTGCGGAACGAGCGAGCACGGGTCTCCCCGGCCCCGCCCACACCGGGCCCACCCACAGGCCCAGGCCCCGCAGGCTCCCGGTGGCCTCCTGGCTTCCGCCGCCGTCACTCCCGTGCGCACTGGGGCCGCCCTAGCACACTTCCCTTCCGCCCCTGCCCACATCCAACCTGCCCCCGCCGCTCCTTCGCCCCGCCTCGTCCAGGGCGTCACCCCTTGCTCGGGCTGCCGCAGTGGCTTCCCCGCCGGCCCCTTGCCCCTCCGAGAAGCCAGGGCAAACCCCAGCCCTCCACTCAAACCCTCTGTCGGAATGAAATCTGAAACAGCAGCCACGGCCTGTGAGCTGGGCCGACCCTTGGTGACTACACCCCCCTCCCACTGTCCCACCCCGGGGCCTTTGGGTGCTTCCTTTGCCCGGAGGCACTGACACGGAGGGAGGGCCTCAGCTGTCTCTCGCAAGGTGCCAATGGAGAGAGGACACTAGCAGCAGGACTGAGCCCCGGAGGGGCGGGGCCAGGAGGGCAGGGGCCTCGGCGCACATGGCTCCGGGAGGCAGGGAGGAGGCCAGCCACCTGCCGGCTGCCGGGCAGGGCCCACACGGAGTGGACAGCGAGGTGCGGCGTCTGATCTGGATGTGGGGGCGCCGGGGGTCCCTGGAGCCCGGGCAGCGGAGAGCACACACCCACTTTTCCAAAAGGGGAGGAATCCTCACTGTTCACCCAGAAGCAGCAGGACGCACAGGGGCCCCAGGGGGCCGAGGGCCCTGCTGGGCCTCCCACCCTTCGGGCGGCTCCACACTGAGGGTCACAGGTGGAAGCAGACACCGCAGAACGGGCATGGCCGGCCCAGCGAAGGCACGGTGGCCACCCGAGTCCCCTGCGCCTCTAAGTGTCCTGTGCCCGCGGCCGTCACACCTTCTGGCCGGCCTCAACGACACTACGAAGCGACTCTACTCTGACCTCAGACTTCGGCCGGGGGAAGGCGGTCGGCAGATGCTCGGAGGGCCGGGGCGCCCGGGTGACGTGCCTGTGCGAGCCCACCCCAGGGGGCAGCGCCTCGATCCTGTTGTGCCGCAGGTCCAGCCAGGTGAGGCTTGGCAGCAGCTGGAAGAAGTCCGGGGGGATGGCACGCAAGGCGTTTCTCTGGAGGTGCAGTTGCTTCCGGGGGAGAAAAAGGCCCGTTTCAAACACGGGGCACCCTGAGCGCGTTTCCGACAGAGCCACGAGGCCCTGCAGTCGCACGGGTCGCGCGGCAGAGAACCTGAGATGTCCCACCTTCCGCGGCTTACCCAGCAGCTGCGGGACCGAGCGTGAGTCTCTGGGACCCGTGCGCCGCTGTCGGGGCCCAGGGCGCATCCTGACCTGCAGATGCTGCCTCCTGCACAAGGGCCGGCAGCTCACGCACCACCGTGTGCACACGCCGCTTCTAAGAAGCCCCCAAACACCAACCAAACTCTCTCCCTCCCTCCTGGTCCTGTGGCAGCCCTGCCCAGTGAGGGGCAGCCGTGGCTGGGCCCGGGGACGTGTCCCCAGGAAAGGGCTGGAGGACACACCCTAGGTCGTCTGCTGTGCCGCCACCTGTGGTCAGCAGCCACACAAGGACAACCCCAAGCCGCTGTCCCAGGGTGCTGGACGCCTCAGCCCAGGGGGGTTGAGCCGCCAGCGCAGAGGAGGCAGCGGCTCAGGAGGGAGGGGACAGAACTCTGGGCACCGACGGGGAACTGCACATGTGACGTCAGAGCCACAGTGCGGAGGGCAATAGGGAAGTCGTGACACCTCCACTGCTGCTGCGTGTGCCCATGTCCCGCTGTTGCACGTGCGTGTGAGCTGCTCTACTGCGCCAGCAGGGCACGGGCGCTTGCAACACTGGCCTGGGAGCCAGGCTTTCTGGGTTCGAATCCAGCCTCTGAAACCTGTTAGCTGTTTGACTTGGAACAAGTTCCCAAACCTCTCTGAGCGCAAGTCCTCACCCATGAAATAGGTCATGGGACCCACCTCCTGGGTGCACTGGGGGAGCAGGGCGCGGCACCCAGCAATGCCCGGCCAGCACCCGTCGTGACGGTGCTGCTGTTCCCACTGCAGACCCCGAGCCTGGCGGGCACTGCCATGCTGCTGGGCGCACTCAGGAGTGTCAGCCGACAGCTGGACAGGGCAGCACGTCGGGTGTGTGACGGGTAGTGGACGCTGCACTTTACCTGTCTTATCACTGAATCCTTCTGACCACCCATGGAAAGTCTCTCACTCCCCCTTCCAGGGGAGACAGATAAGGCCCCGCTGACGACGGGGCCACCAGAGGACCGGGCGAGCCCCCTCGCCACCTCCCCGCATAGCTGGGACCCGACCCCAGAGTCACAGGCGGTGATGGGCTCGTCTGGCAAAGCGCCAGGCACGGGACACCAGCCAAGCAGGCGGGCGAGAAGCAGTCTCCACCGGTTCAGTGTTGCCTGGGGCTTCAGGGACTTGTGTTTTAAATGGGAGACTGGGGGTGTTTCCGGCCGTGGTGCCCACCACCGGCTCTTTGGTCCCCGAGACGTTCTTGAGGAGAGAGGACATCGGAGCCCGACCCTGCGAGGGGCCCCCATTGGCCGGTCCCCATGTGCACTGAGCAGGACACAGACCCTGCGGAAGGAACTCTCTCGCTCATTCTAGAATTTCTCTCCTGGAGAGAAGGCTGCCCTGCCCATGAGAGCCCGGGGTGAGGCGCTCATTTGCATCTGCACAGCGCGGGGCACACAGCACGCCAAGACGCGCCGCTTACTTTAAGGGTGGGAATTTTGAGGACGTCTCCCAGGTGCTGAAGTCCGTTTTGACTCAGGTCCAGGACTGGCAGGGAGGAGAAGAGGGCCCCCGGCACCCTCCCGGGACTGTCTGTGGAGGGCGAGGCCGGCGGGCTCCCCGCAGGCGCGGCGCTGCTCTCCCCCGTGGCGCAGCTCTCCGAGGCGGCGCTGCCGTCCGGGGCCGCAGCAGCCCCGGCGCCGGTTCCCTCCATCCGTCTGCGGGAGGACACGCCCCTGCGCGGCCACCGCTCACCTGCAGACGGGAGGGGACACGGCACAGTTAGGACCGCGGCTCGTTCACGGGTGGCGGGGCTAGCGGCACGGCCGGCCCGCTTACAAAACCCTCCTCTTAGATCGGCATCGTCAAGCCGACTTTTAAGTGAAGTTGGCTTAAAAACTCCTGGGACGCGGGGAAGGCTCCGATTACTCCGTCCCGCCGCTCACTCGGTCCCGTGGAGCCCTGCGAGGTGACTGTCTGCGCCCGGGGAGCGCGGAACAGTAGCGGCCGCGTCGGAGAGGAAACGGGTCGGCCGGGGCCCGAGTCCGTCCACAGCGCCCTCCTCCCCAGGACCCGGCTTCAGGCCCCGCCCCGACGGCGTGGGGACGGCCCGGCGGTGCGGGCCGGGGTCGGGCCGGGGCAGTCGCCGCCCTTCCCTGCGCCGCCCTTCCTTCTCCGGGCCCCCGGCGGCCGGGACCGCCCCAACGCCCCCGACGGGAACGACGTCTGGAAACCCGGAGGAGCACAGCCACGGGCGCGGCGCGCGCCGCCGAGGCCGCGCCAGGGGCCGGGCGGTCCAGCCCTCGGGGCGCGGCCGGCCCCGGGCGCCGCCTTCCTCCCGCCTCCCGCCCCGGCCGCCAGCTACGCGCCCCTCTCACCTGCGGCGTCTCCCTCCCCGCCCCTCACCGGCGGCTCCTCCCTCACTGGCACACCCGGCCGCCGCGAGCGCCGGCGCAGAGCTGCAGCCGAACAATGGAGGCCGCCGGCGCCCGCGGTCGCCATGGAGACGCGTGCGGTACGGGTCCCCGCAGGCGACAAGCCGCGCGGGGGGTGTGGTGCGCGTGCGCTCGGGGCTCCTGCCGGCCGCCGCGCTCTGCCGGGTCCCAGCGCTGGCCCACTGCAGCCCGCGATCTTCGGGGCAGGGGCGAGTGCGCCGGAGCCCGGAGAGCCACGGGGCCCGAGGACACCCGAGCGCACGGGAAAGTCGCTTTTCGGGCCTGCCGCCGGTGTCCAGAACTCGAAAGCCCGCGCGTGTCTAACTGGGCGCCTCACGGGCAGACCTGGGTCCTCCAGTGTCTCGTCGTGCCGTCACAGGGGGCAGCGGGCACACACCTTGGCTCCACCCGTGGGTGCAGGGCGTGGCGGGCAGGGGCAATTGGAGGTAGACTGAGGGCAGACGACCTGCTGCAAACTGGACGCCCGGAGCTCCGGCCGGAGCCCCAGGATGGGTCGTCCCCGTGGGTGTCCTGCCGGAGCCGCGCCGTCCCCCCATCCAGCAGGCAGGATTCGCCCCCCACCCGGGAGCCGGAGAAGCAGAAAGCTGCCCTCCTGCCTCCCACAGCGAGGACCACGGGCCGCAGCCACACCTGGGCGCCGGCCCTGCCCTTCCCGGTGTAAAGACGTCAGGGCTGCTGCCCGCCCCCCGATCTCACGAGAAATTCCTCTGGTAGCCCGGCTAGAAGACCCCGGGAAAGGTGTGTTCCCCAATCACGGGCTGACACTTCAGTCATTTCTGGTAAGCAGAGCACAATCTCTTATCGATGAGAAAGCGGCAGTGGCAGGCGAAGCAGCTTCTTAAGAAACCTCGACTACAAAGGCTGCGAATATCTCTGTCTCACGAAAGGAAAGTCGAATGTAGGAAGCGCTTTAGCTTTCAGTGTCAAACTAGAGACTTTCTGAACACAGACTCGCTTGAACAGCTGGTGCCCGCGCGGAGATCATTGCTCTCAGGGCAGTGTCTGACGGATGCTCGTCACCTTGAAATTCACACGGAATAGGGTAAAAACTACTGTGGTGTATCCGTTTCCAACCGCTGTAGTAACAATCACGAAAAACGTGGCTCTGGGCGACAGCCACGTGCCTCCCCCACAGTTCCGGAGGCCAGACGCCTGACCCAGCGTCCCTGAGCGAGGGGGGGCAAGGTGTGGACATGCATCAGGACACACGGACCAAGCCGTTCACAGCGGCCTCGAACGAGGACGGGGCAGGGCTCCAGTGGCCGGAGCAAGAGAAAGTGCTGAACTGGACGGGCAGCAGCTGCTCACAGCCACAAGGAGGAATCTCAGAAAGACGAAGTCTCGGGACATCCCCCACGGCACAAGCGTTTCTCATGTGAGTGAGGCTGCCCGAGAAGCTGCAAGCGCGAATGAGAGGACTCTTAAAACAAGAGCGGGCCCTGGCTGGCGTAGCTCAGTGGATTGAGCTCGGGCTGCGAACCAAAGTGTCGCAGGTTCGATTCCCAGTCGGGGCACATGCCTGGGTTGCAGGCCACGGCCCCAGCAACCGCACATTGATGTTTCTCTCTCTTCACCGCTCGTTTCTCTCTCTCTCTCTTTCTCCCTCCCTTCCCTCTCTAAGAATAAATAAATAAAATCTTAAAAAAAAATAAAACAAGAGCGGTCAAAGGGTGGGTTGGCCCATAACCCAGGCTGAGGGCGGGTAGCGGACACACATGCCCGTGGTGGGTGTCATGGGCTACACGTGCCCCCCAGCACTCACATGTTGAAGTCCTACCACCCTCCGAACGTGGGTGTTTGGAGATAAGGCCTTTCCAGAGGTGAAATGAGGTCACATGGGTAGTCCCAATCCAATAGGACTGGCCTTCTATCAGAAGAGGACATTGGGACACAGATACACACGGAGGGACCACATGTGAGGACACAGGGAGAGGGGGTCCTCGAGGAGAGAGGCCACGGGAGAAACCAGCCCTGCAACGCCTTGGTCTCGGCTTCCGGCCTCCATGCTGTCCGAGATAAAAGTCTGTTGTTTACGGCGCCCCGTCTGTGGTGCTTATTACGACAGCCCCGGGAAGCTGCTGCGCCCCAGGTGTCGGCTGCCTGGGCCCCGCAAGGACCCACACCCTGACCTCGGAGGCAGGACAGTGCCACCGTCACGGGGGAAGTTATGGTGGCAACTGTGCTGCAGGGTGGCCTTAGCTTCGTAGCTGCAGGAAGACAGAGCGCTCCTTCTTTGTGAAGGCGTCAGCACGCCTCAGAAGTCAGGTGGGGGGAGGAACCCACCCCACCCCGTTCTCTCCTCCCCACGTGCTCCTTCCCTAGACCAGCCACTGGGCCCCTTCCACAGCCTAATTTTAACTTGGAGGCACAACGGGGTGCTTCCAAGAGGACGGTGACGGGGTGGGGGGTGGCTCCGGGCTCCTCTGCGTCACAGCAGGGGTGGGGACAGTCAGCCCTGCTCTCTGGGGTCCTGCTGGCGGAGGTGAGCAGCCCCAGACTCGAAGGGCAGTACAGCTGGTGAGGGCCACCTTACCCACCTGCCCCAGAGTGACGTTCTCCCAGGAAAGGTACTGTGGGAAGTGTCACAACCTCCACACCCACGACCCTGCCGCACATCCCCCCACTCGCCGTGGGTCGACTTTGCTTCCGGGTCAGTGAGGGTCTCCTGTCAGGGGAACGAGACGGAGGTGGCTCCTGGTCAGTGTGGGCACGCAGGACCACCCTGGAGCACGCGGGGACTCTGGCGGCCGCATCACCCCCTGTGTTCACAGCTGGCCCCCATTCCAGCCTTTGTGGCCCCCAGCACAGCACCTTCAGGGCTGCAGGGACCTGCCTGCTCTGGGCCAAGGCCGCGCCCAACCTTTCCTCTGCCCTCTGACCACACTCACTGTGCACCCCCAATCAGCCTGTGTTGGGAGCCACCCTGCTTGGTTTCAGGAGCTGTAACCCCCCCATGGCTAAGGCTGAGTGAGTGACCTTCAGACCTCAAGCCACTAAGGAGACAAAGCTTATCTCCCTGGCAGGGGCACCGCCTCTGCTCCTTTTACTCCACCCTGCCTGGCCCCCAGTGCTTGATCAGTTAGCCAGTGACGGGTAAGATTCCCCAAGGGGGGAATGGCTGAAGACAGGCACGATCACTGGGGTCCTCCAAGGAAGTCTCGGGGGGCTATAGCAAAAGGGGGCGAGGGACCCTCGCCCCTTGGCTTTGACAAAGACTTCTGTCTGCGAGAAGTCTCCTAATCTCTTGGCTGCCTTACTTCCCTGCCAGACTTAAGCCGGAAACAATGACAGAGGGCGGTGCAGCCCTGGGCTGGAAAGGGTGGTTTCCCAGGTGATCAGGCCTAAGAAAGAATGCATAAAATCCCGAGAAACCTGCTTTGCTAAGAATGCTCTCAATCAAATGATAAGGGTCTGAGCAGGAAATGAGTTTGTCTCCCAAAGTTCTGTAGCCCTTTAGCTAACACATCCTGACTCAGAATAAGCTCTCGAAGTATTGTATGATACTTCTTTGTATGTTATCTACTGTTTGATCCTCACTGCCTGACAATGATTGATGAGCTTTACCTGTATTCCTGTGCAAATTGAAAGCCAATAAAAGCTTGTCGGCAAGGGTCGGCCCCTTGAGAGAGTGGCCAGGTGGTTCCAAGGTGCTCTCCCCTTGAGAGTGGCCATGCCGTCCCTTTTCCTCCACAGGACTCGGTAGTCCCTGTGACTCTATCTCGTCTCATCCACGACACCGTGGACACTGGGGCCGGTGTCCGAGTCGAGCCTGTGTTGGCTGTCACCATCCGATCCCGAGCAGCCCTGGACCTCGCCCCGGGGCCAGGGACAATCAGGGAGCTGTGCCCCAAAGCCGCCGTCATGCCATTGGCTGCGCTGGTTCCTCCTCTTTCCTGCCGGAGCCTGCAGGGGACCCCATGTCTAGGGCCCCAGGGGGGTTCGGGGAGCCGCTCAGTCTCTCTGGACGAGGTTCTGCTTCCTGACAGGGGCAGGGGCCTGGCGTGGCTTCAGGGATCCTGGTCCGAACTTAGACCCCCCACCAGCCCCTGCAGCCCCCTCACTCTGTCATCTTCTGGGCCCAGTGTCCCCGAGCCAGGCGCCCCTGGCCCCTCTCTCCAGAGAAAGGCTGTCCAACCTCAACTGCCCCGCGTGGCAGAGGCACCCCAGAGCTCTGGTGGCCCATTCAGCCCTTCCTGCCCCTCCGCCCCCCGTGGGGCCGTTACCTGTGGACCTGCCATCGCTCCCACACCCACCCACAGTGACCTCTCCGGCGCACCCCTTCATCCAGCGACACGTTCTTCCCACTCATGTCCTCCGTCTCGTCCCCTCTGTGAGGGGGGGGGTTACATATTTTCACGCCTCTCCTGCCCCTTCAGGGGCCGGGGAAGGAGCGGACGGAGAAGCGTGGCACTCTGCCCCGGGGGGCCCCAGGCTGCCCTGGCTGTGAGGGGCGAACCCTGCGGTGCCGACCCCTGCTGTGAGCCCAGGGGGGAGCCAAGGACGGAGCCCAACCTGGGGGCGCCGAGCACTGGTCTCCACACACGTGAGATTCGCCCGAGACCCAGGCAAGCACGTCAGCCAGGCCAGGCCCACCGAGGCGGTGCCGGCGTAAAAACAAGCCGAGTCTCAACGGCCCGGCACCTCGTCCGCTTCTCCCTAGCTAGTCCTTCACGTCCCTGGCTGCTGGGCAGGCGGTCCCCACGTGACGCACGGCCCAGGAGTGACACAGGCCACCTCTGCTCCCATTTCACTGGTAAAGCAGGTCAAGGAGCC